GGTGGCCTGCGCCTGTAGTCCCAGCTACTCAGGAGGCTGAGGCAGGAGAATCGCTTCAACCCGGGAGACAGAGGTTGCGGTAAGCCAAGATCATGCCTCTGCACTCCAGCCTGGGTGACAGAGCGAGACTCCATCTCAAAAAAACCAAAAACGTCTGACTACTACTGGCTTAGAGAAACCTTTTCATTTTAGGATTTGAAGATGTTGGGTGTTGATTGACTGAATCTCTTTTCATGAGGAATATGAATACATCCCTCTATAAAATAGCGTTGGACACCCTGGGGGACCTGACCCCATGTCCACATTCCATTCTGTGACCCCTGACTCCTAGCCACACACAATGCACACCAGCCCCATGAAAATCTACCCTTCTTGGCACTGTGCCACTGCTTCCAGGGAAACTTCTGCCTGGAGTGCTAGAAGGAACTTCATGCCACATGGAGCCCTGCAGAACCCACAGCTTGACTCGGGTCCCTGGATCAGGAGGGAGGGCTGTTGAACTAGTAAATCCCAGGGGCATGGCAAAATCCTTTTCTTCTCCTTTTGTAACAACAACAACAACAAAAAAGCCCCGAAGTGCTCCGAAGTTCTGCTTTTTTGCGTTGCTATTTTGTCTTCTATTGTTATCGCTTTTAAGGAGGAGAAGGTAACTAACTCCATTCTGGACCTGCCCAGAGTATGGCTTATTGTCCACCACTGGCCCCTGGGCAGAGAAGCTGGGTTGCATTGATTTCCTGCGTGAAAGAAAGTGCAATTCACAAGTATCTTTCAAAGAGGAGAAAAGGCTTGGGTGTGAGCTGGAGCTGGACCTGGCTCTCCTGGCTCCCCTCCACCAGGGCTGCCCATGGTGCCCCTAGTTGTTTGCCTGACAGAAAAATCACTTGCCCAGAGAACGCAGAACCCATTCCACTGCTGGACCTCAAATCACTAAAGCACCTTAGTCATCTTTAAATGGATTCTACCCCTTTGCCTGTTTTTTGTTTTTCTTACTTTGTTTTCTCCATGTATCAACCCCATAGAAGAGAACACAAGGTGATGGATGAAAATGTTTGAGCAGTTGCTACCCGTCCCCCAACCCAGCTTGTAGTGATAAAAAATACTCAGGGTATAAAGTGGTAATGCTGCTGACGCCTCATAATTACCCAAGTTACGTTGCACTTTTGATTAGAAAATGCAATTATGTTTATAGTGTTATAATCTCACCTGCCTTTGTGTTTTTGAGAAAATTGCAAGAGAATACATCTCCTGGAGTAGGCTGCCCTTGCTAATCAGTTGATTCATGTCTCCTCAAGTGCTCATTGCACTTAAGTTAATGAAGAGATGCTGCTTCTCTGGGGCTCTCAGCTCACGCCTAGACTCTGGGGCTCGTTTTTCAGAACAAACAGCTCTGCCTCAGTTATTTTCTACTCCTCACAGGAAATCCAGCATCTGATTGTCATAGAACTGATTTTCCCCAAGAATCTGCCTTCCATTCTTTCTTTTTGAATTCTTTCACTTATTCAATTATTTATCCATTCATCAAGCTGCCATCAATTAAGTGCCTTCTTAGTCTATGCTGGGTGGTATACGAGGCACTGGGGATACAAAGTGTGAGAAGGCAGGGTCCAAGCCCTTCAGAAGCTCTATCTCAAAGAAGTAGTAGGAAAGAAGAGACCAGCAGAAGGCAGTGTGACTGGCCCCGAGAGAGGTAAGATCAGGGTGTGAGAGGGGCCCAGTCAACCCCATCTGAAGTGAATAAAGACTTGAGGCAATCTTCCAGGTGGAAGTGATGCTTGAGCTGAATTGTGAAGAAGGTTGGGACCAGGAAGGTGCGGTCCAAGCATGGGGAAAGGGGTGAGTGAGCCTGCAGCGGTAAAGCTGCCCATTTTGGATTTGTCTAATACAAGACGGGCAGTTGAAATGAGTTGAGTGGCTGGGATGAAAAGCACAGGCAGGAGTGTGTGTGTGTGTTTGAGGTCAGAAGAGGAGTAGCAGGAGGTGAGACTAGAGAAGGGTACGTCGTAAGGGTCTTCTGTGCTTCCGTGTTGGACGTGGTGTAGAAAGCTCACCAAGCCATTAAAAAGCTTTAAGCAAAGAAGTGATGTACTCAGATTTATGCTTGATAAAGAAGAAAAAATCCCTCTGGCTTCAGTGTAGGGGATGGAGGGGGACCTACTGGAAGCAGGATGATTAATTACTTTTGACAGTGCAGGAGGTTCTTATAAATAGAGAATAGAGAACCATGTAAGAGCAAAATTTCTATCTATAAGGTCCATTTCTTCTGTTGTCTAGGTAACAGATAATCCCTTGCCATCATCTACGATGTTTGGGTAAAGCATGACACAGGACCTGTCAGCGCAGGATTTCTTTTGTTGCTCAGAGAAGGCAAGGATTGCCATGAGGTGTGACCCAGGATCACAGGATACGGAATGCACACACTTTAACCTCCCAATTTGGCTTTGACTGGGTCTGTGACTTGGACTTGGGTATCAGTTCTCCCATCTCAAAGTGAGGAGACTGAACTGAATTGTTCCTTAAATTTCTGCCAGCTCTGAAGTCAATAACATGATAGCGAGCTGCCTTTAGAATTACATAGGAATTTGAATTCTTTCCACCACTTCTGGCTGCATGATGTTGAATAAGTTACTTAAACACTCTCTAAGGCTAAATTTAGAATGGGGGTAGTAAGATTCTTCTTGCAAGGTTGTTGTGGAAATTAAATATGACACTGTATGTAAAGCATTTTTAGCACTGTATCTATGTGTAAATATATGGCTGTTACATGTATCAATGGATGGCTGTTACTATTATACCCCAAAGTGAAGATAGCCTAGAGATACTATAAAACAAGGAAAATTTCTCTAGATCACTCAATGTCAAGGAATTAGAAAAGTGAACATATTAGTGTTTACAAATTCAGCTACAAGTGCAGTCTTTTCTGCCTCTTAGGCTAGCCAACAATACCGGGCTGAGATGGTAGTGCTGATACACTGTGACAGAGCACCCTCTAGTGGCCGTAGACATTAACATTTTCATTAAGATCATTGAAGAACAAGGCTCTGCGGACATGGATGCAAACATCGGGGATTTGGGTTTGTTACTCTTAATGCCAGTAAAACTGTCTTAAATATAATGAAGACTCACTAGTTATATCATTTCTAATAGTAATTCCTTAGTTGACTGTTCCACAAAGTCATGTTCTGAGCATTTATAAGAGCTTGCAGTTCTAAGACAATTACATTTTAAATTCAAACATGTATCAATATTTGAATCTCACAAAAAATACTCAGAATTTTTCTTGATGAGACTGAAAAATAATGTGAAATCACTCAAAAAAATGTGCAATAGCACTTGGGTTAGGTGGCAGAGCTGGGGTATTTCCAGGGGCAATCTTGCTACAAATGTGGCTGTGTGACTTTGGGCAATTTGCTTCATTTTTGGGAACCTGTTTCCTGTTAAAATACTGAAGTGTAAGCCTGAACAACCCTTTTTCCAGCTTTAACATTCTCTGAATTAAGGGGAATAAGTTATCTATTTTAATATTAGGGCTTCAAAGAAATTTGATGTCAACTTTTCTTTATGAACTTGGGGTCTCAAATACAGTTTAAAGGCCATGTAAAGATGAGTTTATAATATTTTACAAAATCAACCCTAGCCATCTGTATCAGAGATAGCTAGTCACTAACAAAGATTCATATTTCCTTTCCATAGTGTAGAATTTTGGAGAAATACCTGTCCAATGAGGACTCCATTTAGTGGCTCTCTTTGCATCCAGGTGGGACTGTTAGGTTTAGTTCTTGCCAAAGGAATAGGAAAAAACATGTGTATTTCCAAGCCAAAGTATTTCCAAAGGAGTTTAGTACTGGGTGTGTCACCCTCCTCTTGTTCGTTCCCCTTGTCCTCCAATGGATAACACTTACGTGAAAGGAACCTGGGTACCTAAATTACCTATTGAAGATGAGTTGCCCAGTGGGGCCACCCAATCAGAAATACCTGCACTGAACTTACTACTTCTTGTACTTTGCCACCTAAATTACTATCATTTAGGTGTCTGAGTTCAAACTGGTTCTATAAACAAGATGGAATATGCCTGTACTACTGTAAGGAAAATTAGCTTATAGGAATTAAAAATTTTTCTGCAGATACTAATGAAATTTAAAGGATGCATAGTTCTTAGTTGATCTAGCAACTAAGCTTCTAGGGCTCTTCTGAGAAGTATTAACTGTAAAAGGAAAAAACTAATATTTTTAATAGAAAAATGGAAACAACCTGAAGTCCAAATGAAAACAGATCAAATAAATTAAGGCAAATATATACTGCAGAATACTAAGTACCTACTGTAAAGGATGAATAGACTTTATGCACCAACATGGAAAGACGTCCTCAATGAGAAATATGGAAGTTAAAGATATACAGTATGATTCTGTTGGGTTTTTTAAAAAATTCATAGGTTTTGCATATGCTAGAAAGACTGGAAAGTTAAAGATTAATGAGTTAATACTGCTTTTAAGGTGAGATTTTCACTTCCTTTACACCTTCTATAGCCTTTAGTTGACAGAATGTGTGTTGCTTTCTTAACATCTTCATACACTCCACCCTTTAACCAAAACTCTCACCATTCTCATTCCTTACCTCCATACCTATGCTGAAGTCTTTCTCTCTGGACCATTGTCCCCCAAATGCCATTTTAAAAATCTGACTAGTTGGCTTCTTTTCCCCAGAAACTGACCTCACTGCTCATATTCCACAGCATTTCCTCTCATTTGTTTAACCATCCGTTATGCTGGAAGTCTTTGTGCATCCTAGTGTCTTAGCTATTCATGTTGGGCTTTTCTGTTTCCCACTTACTAAATAAGGCTTCTTGTGGGAAGAAATTAACATTTACTCACCTTTGCTTCCCCTACAGTGTTCCACATAATAGATGCTCCACAAATCTTTGATACATTAAAATGTGGCAATTTTTTTTTTGCAATTCGATGTGTATATTGCTAATAATTTAGAAAGCATCCAAATGATCACCATTTTATTTTCAAAATTTTATTTATATGGAATCTTCAGCATGTTTCAGCTTAATTTTTAGAACAAGATAAAATCCAAAAGCTTAAAATCAGGTATTTTATAATGTGTCACAATTAAGTATGGAGAGTTCTGTCACTTTTGAGGCAAATCTTTCATAATTCTAAAAATGCAGATATTTACAATATTTTTAAATACAGACATATACAACATGGCATATTTAAATGTACAAAATAGTTGAAATTATATTACAGAACATTCCAAAATTCAAACTAATTTTAAAAAGTCCACAAACACTGAAAACATTTGGAAAAAAACAGCAACAAGTTTATCAATAACCATGCAGTGTGTTTAGTAACTTATACACAACACATAAATTGCATGTCAGATCCACAAATCTAAAGGTATATGATTGATCTATTTAACTCATGCATGCTACACTCTAAATACTATTTTATAATCCATAGGCTTAAACACATTTTACAGTAATCTATGAAACAGGAATATAAACTATGAAAACATATTTAACTGACTTCTTAAGAAACTAGGAAACCTCAAAGATAGCAAATCAGGCATTCTTTTCCCCTGAAATTAAAGTTCTTATGAATACATTCATAAACACCAAAGGAAGAAAATAAAAACAACCCAGATATTGTAACTTAATTTTACCTTCTCGAACTTCTATTTAGAGCTCTTGGCATAATCATAGCCCCCCTGGGATATTTTTATTTTCTCCTGATTTAGTGGAGGCAACATATTTATTCCCTTCCTTGTTCCAGGAAAAATTTAAGATGGCTTAGAAGATAGACTCAGAATATACTAGAAAGTATAATGATAGCTTAAATAAAAAAGGAACCAGAGAAAGCAGAATTTGGGGGGAACAGCCATTTAAGAAAAGGTCAGGAAATACATCCTGTAGCACATTATTCTCCCACAGTGATTTTCTGGAAATACTACAAAATATATTAATTTGTAAGAAAACTAATAATAAAATACTGGTAAACTAGAGATACTGATCAACTTTCTTTGTTAAATTATTTACCGTGATGAAGCAGATGATTATAAAAATGTGTGTGCTTTTCTTTGTGCTTAGATAAAAGAAGTTTTCCTAAATATCATATAAGTGACTCCAGATTTAGTCTGTAGCTTTTGGTAAAGGTGGAAAAAAAAAAAAATTGGACACGCTTACTGAATTTCTACTGAGAATTCTATCAACTGCTGTCTGTTGACTTGTGACTGGATGGCTTCAATTCAGGTGGTCATGTGTTACACAGCTCTTGTGTAAGCACAAAACAAAGCACCATCAATTCCAGGGCAACCTGACTGTATTGGTTCCTCCAGCTCACTTCATCAGGACCCAGCAAGAGAAATGGGAGGAAGGTAATGTAGAGGAGGAGACCTGCTCAGGCAGGTTGAGGCCTGTCTCCTCTGTTGGGTGGAGCTGCAGAGGCTCTGACTGTGCTTACAGTTTGCATGTCACAGACCTCAACCCCACTGCTGTGGGCAGGGAAGGTATGGTACGGACGGAAGACTGGGAGCAGCAGTAAACAGCTTCAGAGAAACATGCATGGTCTGTCCATCTCTATTCTACAGGCCTAGCTTTCAACAAATGATAGAAAGAATGGTCTTGTATCTATATGCTGAGAAAAAAGAATGGAGGGAATGATGATGAAAGAAAGGGTTTGTAGGAAATGGGGAGAAAAGAAAGGTATTAGGATGTTTCCCTTTCAAGTGTGGCATGAGTTTCAAATCTATAGATTGATTAAGGACAACCAGAACAAAAATATCTGAAGACTAAAACAAATCACTGCCTCCTATCTTTTTTGAGGATCAAAGGTCCCAAGTAATTTATGAGTTTTGATTAGGTTGGGAAGGAAGGAAGTTCAAGTCTATAGATCTGTTAACTGTGGAAACTGCAGTGCTCTTGGTTGGGGTGGCAAAGGCTTCCTCAGGGATAGTGGTGTTAGAAGGGGACAGAGTCATGACTGCTATTTTTCCAATGATACCCTTCAGAATACAGGCAGTGCCAGCTTATTCATTAGGCACAGTACCTAAGGCCCACAGTTTTTTAGTGGCCAAAAAAATGTTTTAATGTTTTTTTAGCCTTGTAAGAAAAAAGTGAACTTCTAGACTAAACAAAATGTTTTACTCTAAAATGTTAATACATTCATTTCATACAAATGCAATTGTAAAATATCACTTTTAACTTTTTATGGAAGAAGGAGTCTAAGATGGCAAAACTCCCTAGGGCCCACAAAAATCATAATGCAGCTCTGAATACAGGGTCAAACAAATTGTAACTGAAGCAATATAACTTGAACAGGAAACTGAAGACAATTTAAAAGGATTAGAGAAGAATGTTTCAAGGCTAAAATAATAGAGATGATGACTCTGAGCTTACTGATCCTGTTCCACTGGTTTTTCTTTTCTTGAATGTTACTTTGGAATTAGATTTTTAAAGAAAGCTAAGTTAATACTGGGGATGTGCTAGTGTCAATTTCCATTAGCGAAGCCAGAAAAAAAAAGTTCAGCTCATTATTTTATAGTCATTGTGCAATAACAAAGGCAGAATCAGGATGAAGACACCTTCATGTCTTTAAGTCCTTTAGTCCTTCCTCCACTTTGTACACATTTTTAGTGGCAGGTTTTCCTTTGAGACCCTGCCTCCTAAACTTCCTGTATCATAGTCCCAGTCATTTCTAGGCTTCCTCTGTGCTTCAAGGCCCTGACTCCATTATCCTTGGTAGTAGCCCAAGGCTGGCAGTGCCAGCAATGTGGGTACCTGCAGTTGAAAAACTGTTTTAAGAATGTGACAAAAGAAAAAAGAAGCAGCGAACATGATGGAGGAGGAGAGAAAAAAGTAACCAATTTTAACATACTCAAATTATACTGTCAAAAAAATGGGGAAGGATTTATACTATTAACTGTGTTTTTTTAAACAGTAATACTGAGATTTTTATACTTCATAGTTCTCTGTATTTTCAAACATATTTTACAAGATAAATGTACTCTATAGTCAGAAAATACTCAGTAAGTATTATTTTGAAAATTGTGTTCTGAAGACCCCAAACTCTTGACAATTATCATCCTTGAGATCCTCACCATATGGCTTAGGTTGGCAAATATGGTTAAAATTGGCACACACAGCAGGGACACTCAGATTTGAGAGCATAACTTTTAACGATTTCCATTACTTTCCATCACCCAAACTCATCAGTATTATAGGGAAATGTCAATCAAGAAACCTAATAAATAACAACTTTTTAGTATTTGTTCCCCAATATATTATGAAGAAACAGTTCAAAAGGAAGATGAGTACAAAGGAATCAATTACTGCCTTTCATAGAATCACACAACTTCTGAGATTGGAAGAGAATACTAAGTCATAAAATTCAGGCCCTTGAATTAACAGTGAGGAGCGTGCAGTCCAGGTTACGCGTTTTGATTAAGGTCACACAGCAAAGTTGGTCACAGAGTTAGGATAAGAGTTCAGGTTTCCTGACTTTTGGTCTCTCAGTCCTCAAAGCAATTGTTTTGTAAGCTATACTTCATTGTTTATCCAAAGTGCACATAGAAAAATGGAAAAATACTACCTGTTTTTTAAAAAATGTATGTTAATTTGGAAACTGTATTAACTAAAAATATAAACTTCACATGAGTAGTCCAACAATTAGAATGAACAATAAAATTTTAGTCCTGAAAGGACCCTAAGAAGTTAGACTTCCGTTACACAAGAATTAAGGCTAAGGAAAAGTAAACTATATCCCCCCAAATCACAAAGTTGAGACAAGACCAGGTCACCTACAGCTGGCTCACTGCTTCTTCCAATACTCCTTATTCTTCACTGGCTACTGACTACAAACAAACAAACAAACAAACAAAAATGTAGAATCAATCTGGTTTAGATATAAGAAAACATTAGTGAGAATCCTTAGTGAATAGGTATAAATCAATCCTCTAGATACTAAGAAATAAACTAAAATCTATTGAATTTCAATGAATGAGGCAGCATGATTGCTTACTTTATTTTAAAATGGGCTTAGATGCAGATCATAATTCTGAGTTTCAGTGTCATTTGAAGCTGATGTAAGGCTTAACAAATGTAAAACAAAATTCTAATGTTTAAAGTTCTCTAGATCAGGGGTTGGAGAATAATAGCCAGCAGCCTATGTTTTGTGAGACCTGTGAGCTAACTATGGTTTTTATAGTTTTAAAGAATTGTTTAAAACAAATACACACACACATATACACACATAGAAGAATGTCTCATAGAGATCATATGTGGCCTAAAAAGACAAAATTATTTACTAACTGGCCCTTTACATTAAAAAGTTCACTGACCTCCGTTACAGATTCAGAAAGTATATGAAACTGGGCTGAATATGTAATATGTCCTGAAAGGCGTTTTTGTTTTAAAAATTAAATCTCTGATTTTTCCAGCTTTATTATCATTTGCCTCTTTCTCCTAATAGTAGATAGTAGAAAAAAAAGTTTGAGGGTTATGACTACCTAATTTCCAGTTAAATGAGGTTTTATCACATATACTAATGTAGTGGACACACAATTGAAGCTAATTATTTTATGCATGTCAAATTAGTCAAAAATTTTCAGATCGCGGGGAAAATGGCGTTTCTTATGATAATGTTGCTATACAATGAAATGGAAGCAATATTAAAAACTAGTAATTCATTCTCTCTTTTGGGTTTCTCTTGTTTTTAAGATTTTCTTGTCATGATTCTCCTGGGTCCCTACTGCATGTTGTTAGATTAATCAGTAGTTCTAAACCATATTAATTATCTCAGTGACCACCCATCCACATCTCATTTGTAACCATAAACAAATCTCACCAGAACATATGAAAATAATGGAAGTGCTTCTAAATGAAATATGAGATACCACAATGAAACATAAATGGCTAGCTCAGGGAAGAAATGACTTAGAGACATAGTCCAAATCCCAAGCTGAACACAACAGTACAGCCAACTAGGCTCCTAAGTTTCACAGCCTAAGTTACACAGCATTGCTTAGTAAAGGACTAGAACACTGTGCTGGACCCTGGTTTGCAACACTCTGATAATCACTGTATGAAAGTAAGTCTGTAGCTCTTCCTTTTCACATGATTTATGTGGCAACGTTTGGATTTTGTGAACTAGAGAAAAAATACCAAAGCCGTGCCAATGTTAACTAAATTACAATCACTTTAAGGTTATAACATTGAAAGCAAGATCTACTGTGTCAAGATTCAAATGTCTTAACTGTAAAATAATCACATTAACAATTCCTTTGTGCAGTTCTCTTCGGTTACTCCATTCTCTTGGTTGCTTTTATAATTGGAAAGGAACAAATTTTCTATTTCAGTCAAGAATTCTTCAGCCATAAAGCAATTGGTCACTTTGCTCAGAGTCTTCCTCATACACTCCAAAAGCTAGTTGAAAAGAAAAGTTTTATATTTAAATACATAAAAAATATGAGGGTTTACATTACTATCACTATTTTGTTCCTTTCCAGACCTCACATTTCCTAAGGCTCAAATGAGAAACACTCTCCTTAAAAATGGTTGAAGGTTAACTTGTGTTTAATAGTCACAGAGCTGGAATGTAGAAAATTGCTGCTGAGGAACATTCAGCTTAGTACCTTTACGATTTTACATAAAGAGACAAACCTGAGATTGTTTTATGTGAGACTTTCTACTTTATACACATCTGTGACTTTTCTCCATTTGTAGTTACACTTATAAAGCAAAATAATCCTGGGCACACACGCACACACACACACACACACACACACACACACACACACACAATTTATATATATAAAAACACAAGATTCTACCATTTCAAAATGAGGATGCTAGCTAGAGTCTATTTCTTTGGAAATGTGCATATACTTTTCAACAACACACAAAAAAGTGAATATAACAGAAAGGAGTAAAAAATATTTTTTAAAAAATTATGTTTAAATATTCTATCCCCTAATTGCTATTTAAAAAAAGACAAATGTTGCTGATCTACTAGCCCTCAATCATTACAGAAGCAAAACCTAGAAGTGAACTGATAGAATTCAAAACTCTTATTTCCTATTAGAAAGTTAAATAAAATGACTATTTAAATTTAATTGTCAGGTTTATACCATCATTCTTAAAAATGATCAACTGTTAAGGCTAAAATGGAAACATGGCCCTTTCAAATTTAATAAAACGAGGAAAATGCTCTCCATTGTGTATAATAATAATCTGCAAAGAAATTTATCAGCCGACACTGACAGATTTATTCTAAAATAGTATTTTTTCTATGTGCAAGTTTGGGCAACAAAATACATTACTAATTATCTCCTAGAAATTAATTTTCCAAAGGAAAAAGCAATAAAAGAAATATACAGAAAATTATCCACAAAGCATTAGGCATCATGGGAAAACACATTGAGATGAATAGCTTTAGAATTTGTGAACAATGGAACCAATTAAAATGAAGGCAGCTTACTTTCTGCAAACAAGTCAGGTCAGAATCCCGGTGAAAGATTTTATCCATGGGGACGCTGCTGTAGGAAGAAATATGAAAACAAACTGATGAAACAAATACTATAATCAGTTTCGTAAACTATCACAGATGCCATACATCACAATTTTATATTTAACTTGGGTTTTCTCTGAAACATAATTTAATGAGCAACACTGCAGATGTGCAACCATCTCAAACCACAGCACATACCTATGGGACAGCCTGTATTTTTCTATTATCCATCTTGTCTTTTCAAATACTAATCCCCACTGAGGTTCTTCTAACATCTGTTGTACTTCAAATTTGTAAGGTAACCCTAGAAAAGCATAAAGAAGCACATTTTCATCAACTATTTCTTAACTCTCCAATCTCCTTTTAATTATACTTAAAATTCCCTTCCGTGTTTTTACAACCATGGCTTGACAGATCAGCTGAACAGCACTTTAAACACAGTGAGCATTCATTAAATATTTATTGCCTGACTGTGCTTGATCCACCAAGCATATTAATGCCAAGCTATTAATACTAATAAAGAAGAGTAAAAGTGCCATTTACATGACAATTCTATGCCGGGCACTATGATAGGATGATCACATAATTTATCATCCAAATCAAGAGACTTTTTGAATGAAAGAAGGTATTATTAATAATTATGGCTGAACCAGAGGTTTAAATTGGGACTATTCTAGACAAACTAAAACACATTGCCATCCTAGTGACAATTCAAAAAAAAAATTAAATACAGGTTATTAAGCTTACAACAATGCTGTAAGGTAGGTAGCTTTTTTTTTTTTTTTTTTTTTTTTTACAGTTGAGAAAACTAAAGCTGAGACACATTAAAATCATATTTAGACTAGCAAAGTGGCAGGACATAGATGTTAAAACCCAGCAGGTTTGCCTCACTTCTGAGCCCAAACTCATTCTACCTCCCTTGATGAGCTAATCTAAGACTAGACAAGAGGACAGGATGAACCTGGGGAGGGAGCAACTGCTTTAAGTCAAAGTTGTCATACTAAACTCTGGAGCAAAGAAAGAAGCCCAAAAGGTGGATATCATATATTCAGCTAGAAAGGAAAATATACCCAATGATGAGCTATCTTAGCTGTTTCTCACATATCCTTCAAGACCTCATGTAAATGTATCTGCAGCATTTTTTAAAAAGCTCAGCTGATTCATCATCAGAGGCTGATACTGTCATAATAACACTTAGAATGCGTACTATGTACCACCTAATACTTTATGTGAAATCACTTAAGTGAAGTGGCTGCCATTAATTTTCCCCTTTTTATTTTTGATGAGGACACTACATCCTAGAAAGGTTAGCCTGCTCATGGTCAGATATAAAAGGCAGAGGCAGGATTTGAACCCAGGCAGTCAGGCTTGAGAGTTCTGGTTTTAACTTTTACGTAACACTGCCTCTCAACCGGGTTTCTACCATGATAAGGCTTTTCAAAACAATAAAATGCCAGCAAATCAGAACCCATGGGGGAAAAAAAAACCAAGGGGAAGAAAAATAGAATTGTTTCCTCACAATGAAATAAAGCATAGCTTAACTGTCAATATGCTCTAAAAAGCCACTTTTTTTCAGGTGTTTGGAAGAAGGGAAGGGGACAGGCAAGCCTGATGATGACTGATCTTTTTTATTTAATTGTTCAATATTCCTCTTCTCCAAAAACTTAAGAAGAGTGACACATTATAGTACATGAGCTATTAAGCAAACTCCTCTTGGTGATAACAATCATTTACTTGACATGCTTTGATTACTTACTAAACAGGGATACCAGCTATATAATCATAACTACCCAATGAAAACCTATTATTTGCTAAACACTTTACATATATTACTGACAAACTTTACAAATACACACCTACTGTAAGCAAGGTAGTAATTTTTTTCTGATTTTTACAGATGTAACAAAGGAGAATGAGAGAGTAAACTGCGCAAGGAAAAAGAAGCAATAAATGTCAGAGCTGGGATCTGAATCCAGCTGAGTGACTCCTACTCTCAATGAAAGTTGAAAATAAAAATAAAGAGAGGTAAATAATGCATTTTCAATCTATGCTGATGGAAAAACATGAAAACAAACATAAAAATTATATACAGCTTTATTTGGTATTTTAAGAATTTTTTAAGTTAAAAAAGGTACTTTTAAAGCCAATAAAAGTTTTCTTTAATAGAGAATATTTTTATCTACTAAATATCAGAAGAAAACGAATCACTAAATTTCCTGCCTGTCGCAATGGTTAAAACATTTAACCATTAGAGATATTGTGCAGATATGACCAGAGTTAAAAGTACTGTAGCATAAGGTAACCCATTGCTTCTAGAAAAATCTTAATTCTTGCACCAGAGGATTTCTAAGGGCAAAGCAAAAAACCAAGGATTAAGATCTAATAGTGTTAACCATGGACAAGTCATTTACAAGACAGCTCTGTCTAATGGTAGCTCATGGGAGCATCATGGATAGTTCCCTCTAATGTTTTCAAGTGGTTTCTTCCCCTTTCTGGGCAGTTTTCTTCACATGCATGTGCGGATCCGTATTTTGCTAAATACTCCAGGGATACCCTTCTACAAATCTCCAGAGTTCACGCTCCCTTCTGCTTTCTGTTCTCTTGGGGCTCGGTCTCTCAAACTCACCTGTCTTGGTCTTCTTGTCTCCATCACCTTAATCAAGTCTGCCTGGCTCTGGGGGGTTTCTCCTTCTTGTGCCATATCTGAAAACCCTCATAAGCGTAAGCAAGGGTAATTTTGGGCTCTTTTCATTTGTTTCCTATCTCTTAGCAATTGTATTCGTTTGCTGCTCAAAGTTGTGTTTAAATACCAAGATTTTATATATTTTGTCCAGTTTTCTGGTAGTTTCAGACAGGTTCTTGTTACTTCATTTTTGCCAAAGTAGAATTCCACAAACTAAATTTTAAATTTCATGTATTTCTAATCAAGTTACATTTGAAGTCACATGTGCCATGTGCCTGCTATTGTACTGGACAGCACCAGAATTGAGGTTTATTTCCAAAACCTAGCAGTCTGTGGGATTATAAAATGATTTAAAGAGAGAACAAGTTAATTGTGGTTCTGTTTTTTATAAAATTGTACTGAGCTAAAGAATAATGTGTATTATGTACCATGCTCAAAATGGACATTCCAGACTAAATTTAATACCAGTATTATTAATTCAGTAAAAACCCACATAGTGTTGACCACCTCCTAGATGCAAAGCAATTTATTAGGTGCTACTGGAAAAAAAAGAAAAGACATAGTCCCTGCTCTTTGGGCATGCAGTTGATTAGGACTTGCTAAACAGATAAACTGCATTAAAAGATAAAGTTACCATGAAGGCAGGAATAAAGTGTTGCAATACATAAAGAATAGAGCAACTAATAGTAATAACATGGGGGCAGTGCTGGTAAGTCATTATCAAACATAGGGCATCCAAGTGAGATCATTAAGAATGAAGAGAAATTAGGCCAGGCTCGCTGGCTCACACCTGTAATTCCAGCACTTTGGGAGCCAGATAACAAGGTCAGGAGTTCGAGATCAGCCTGACCAACATAGTGAAACCCCATCTCTACTAAAAATACATAATTAGCCAGGCATAGTGGACATGCCTGTAATCCCAGCTATTAAGGAGGCAGAGGCAGGAGAATCCCTTAAACCTGAGAGGCAGAGATTGCGGTGAGCCAAAATCGTGCCACTGCACTACAGCCTAGGCAACAAGGGCGAAAATCCGTCTCCAAAAAATAAATAAATAAATAAAAAGGAATGAAGAGAAATTAATTATTAAACAAACATTCTTTGGTATCTACTTTATACCAGGCCTTGTGCTAGAAACAGGATAGAAAAATGGGTACGATATAGTATTTATTCTCAAAGGGCTCAGATCTAATGGGGAAGAGTACAATGTGGGGTAAATGCAGTGACAGTGTCCAGAGGACCTGACCTAGAGCAGTGGTAGTAATGATAGAATATCCTAGAGTTATTTAGCCTACTGTTTCCTCTTAATGTTTGCTTTCTGTCCACATTCCCTTCCTTTTCCTAGTCTGCTATACTAATTCCCTATCCACCCAGAAATGATTGGCTACAAGTAGATATAAACCTCAGAGGAATCAAGTCAGATGACAGCCTATGCCAACCAAATTCTTTCCTGAGATAGAATGGGAACAAAGAAATATACCAACTGAGTTAGTCATTGTTAACCCTAAACTGGGAGGTGACAAGAGAGCCAGAGGTCATTTTTGTTTTCATTTGCATGCCATCACAGAGAAAGCCAGTCTGCATTTATAAAAACAATTTACATGAGAACAGAGACTGTTTTGTTTACTGCAGCATCTCCAGTGCCTAAAATACACACTGCCTGGCCTAACTTTTCTCCATATTTCAATCCTTTTGCCCAGTGGCCATAGTAACAAAAGTGGGGACTTGACTAGAGCAGGAGATTATGAAAGGGAAGAGGGCGGCTACACTAAGTGGCACCCAAATAGTAATTCCCTAGCTGAGGCCACCAACTCTGACATTAAATAATTTTGCACAGTTGCAAATCTTTTGATTTGTATAAGTGAAAGAAATGAGAGTAGAAGTAGGATAAAGTTATTTTTGTTGAAAACTTACGATAAGAGCCATCTGGGCTAATTTCCTCACTTATAACCAGGCAGGTAATTTGAGAATATGGTAAGGGATTATTTCGATTATAGGGACTAACAATCATTCCAATGAACTTTGCACCTCCTCTGGAGAAGTAACTCTACAATTACAAGAAAAATATAATTAGTTTCAACTATATAAATTATATAGTTTATAATTTATCCATACTTTATTTATCCAATTTATTTAGCCAATGTTTATCCATACTAACATTTTAAACATCTAATAGGGAAAAGCAGGAACAAAAAGGTATATTAAAAAGTTCACATCTGGCCTGGCGTGATGGCTCACACCTGTTAGCCCAGCACTTTGGGAGACTGAGGCGGGCAGATCGCTTGAGGTCAAGTCAAGACCAGCCTGGCCAACATGGTGAAATACTGTTTGTACTAAAAATACAAAAATTAGCTGGGGCATGGTAGCACGTGCCTGTAACCCCAGCTACTTGGGAGGCTGAGGCAGCAGAATCCCTTAAACCTGGGAGGCTGAGGTTGCAGTGAGCCGAGATTGCGCCATTGCACTCCAGCCTGGGTGACAAGAGTCAGACTCTGTCTCTTAAGAAAAAAAAAAAAAAAAAGGTTCACATCTAAACTGCAACTAAATCAAATGCCTTAGACATTCATTTCACACTGAAAATTTTTCAGGCAAAAATGTGTTCAACCAAATCCGGAATCCCCCTTTAAAAAAATTGGCCTACACAATCTGTTTTGCCATGAACATATTTACTAATTATATTCACCATGCTATATCTGTAATTCTTATCAATATGGTAATAATTTACAAATACCCTACAGCAAACCCAGTCACATATCAAATGTAAAATCCCAGAATAAAACGAAACTTGTTCTTCAGCTATAAAAAATGTATTATGTTTCTTATTATTTCAATTATATTTAGTTCCAGTCCTAGTTGCTCCCATTAATTTTTAAAGGCTCTGGGAGTATTTATCACTGTAACATTCATGGCTTGTCTGTAATTAATAAAATAACTGACTTTCTAAATGTTTACATAAACATTTATCAATCTTGCAGAAAAAAAAAATGCATATTCTTTTAGAACTCCCAGTATACAGAATATTAGAAATGCAAAACAAAAAACGTTTAAAGTTTATCTATTTAAAACAAAGCACTGAGGGGGTGTGCAATCACTTACAGAATATATCCATATAATACCTGGTATTTAGCTTGTGTGTCAATATCTCGTAAGGAAGGATTGGGATCAAAAGCAGGATGAGAATGATACCATCCAATAACACTGTAGCCTCTAACAGCCAAGGTTTCTGAGGCCTGTGTTTGTGATACAGGATCCATCTCACACTGTAGTCCTGTACTCAGACTGTTACATGGTTCTGCTGCACAGACCTATAAAAAACAATTGATCTTCAAATGATTATACTAAAATCCTGTTAATTCTATTACTCTAATGTTATAATTCTTTCAGAGATACAGAAACTTTTCAAGGTCAAGACTTTTATTTGACAATATCATAGTCAGCCTTTAACTTGCAAATGACTTATACTCCAAAAATCTGATTGTATGCTAGAAACTTAGCATGCATTTTTCTACTCAAACAAGGTCATAATAATGGCTAGTTTTCCATGTCAGCCCATATGATACCTGTACAAAGGTATTCTTTCAATGACACCTGTTACTTATGACAATAATTTCAACAGAATCATGCATACAAACTTTCAACTACAAGTGCTAGTACATATTTCTGGCCTCTTAGAAGTTGTAGCTTTTTACTAATAAAGGCAATGAGGAGCCAAGGCATGGCAATGTTCTCTCTTGGTGGTAAAAAGAAACAGGTGCTCAGAATATGGAATGTTACATCACATAACTTGCAAATGTAGCAAGTTATGCAATATTTGCATATTCTCATATATATCACAGGTAAAGTCTGTAGTTTAATTATATTCACTGAATTCTATAAAAATATTTGGTATGGTAGTAGGACTAAATAATAACTAAAACATATTTTTAAAAAAGAGAACTTACTTCAACTACTTTATCAACTTCTGAGTATCTTCCTCCTAATAGACCAATCACTTCTGCCATAGAAACATGAGCATGCTAAAAGAAATACAAGACAGACTTAGCCCAAATGCACAAAATCACTTGACAGAAAATCCTAACAAAACTCACTTATCATAAGAAAGTCATGTATAAGTGTAGTCATCATGCTTTTAAAAAATAAAGTAACATAAAAGAGGAACTAGATGCTAGGCTCAGTGCACAGAGACTAAGATTTCAGGTATCTTCACTGTTGGCTGAGAAGCTTTCAGCCACTTAAACATTCTCTGACTCTACCTTTTCACTTACAAAATGAAGATACCATTTACTCTCCCTATTCAAGAAAGGTATTATGTAAGGATACAAGGTAAAAATCACTCTAAATCCTTCTACACAAAGACATCACAAACACAAAAACTGTTGGAGGTATTGGTAGTTTAGTAAAAACAAAAAAACCTCCAAATTATAGGAGTTGTGTTTTGTTTCAGTAAACTAAAAGGTGGCAGACACAGATATTAGAAAATGAAAACAGGGTTAATGATGGTAAACAGTCTGCAAAAACTCACATTAATTTATTTTCTCTAAAATATGGAAACATGCAATTGTTTGGCTTTTCTTCAAAAGAAAAGACTTATTTTTAGATTCCTTGTAAAAGAGGATAGTTAAGATCCAAAATACACGTCTTCCATACTCTGTCTTAAGCCTGCAATAAAAATACACAAGAGTAGAAATCAGAATAACTAAGTAAACGCAATAGATTATCCTTACCAAATCCATTATTAAAAGTGCTTCTGAAGCCACTTTCACCTGAAATGGCTCCTGAAATATAAAAAAACAAAACAAAATGGGGGAGCATAAAAATAGAGATTTTGTTCTCCCCACCTAGAATGCCCACCCTGTTCTTTATCCACCCCACCAAGTTCTCAGTACTAACAAAGCTCAAAACAAACTAGCCTTTTAAAAAATATTACGATTTAAAACCCCACCAGGGAGAATTTCTCTCTCATTTTCAGTTTTTTCCCATACATATGCCCTGCACATATAGAAAAAGCGTAAGTATTTCCTGTTTGACAGAGGAAGGGGAATTGTCTATGGTCATTCATGAATGCATAAATAGTACCTGCTTTTCTTCACTGAAAAAATTACAAGGTATCAGTTGGAAGGGATCAAATGAGCTGAAAAAGAAAAAAAATTATTTTTAATATAATCTCAAGATTAGGAAGATAGCATTTATTTGCAAATTTGAAAGTATGTATCAATAGTCTATACCCAAATTCTGTATAAATGAGAAAAATATTAAACTAGGAGAGTTTCTTAGGCCGTTCCATCAATCCTTTCAAAAGAAGCACTATTCTTTTAGATTTAACAAGAACAAAAAAATCCCAGGGACTTTGAGATAAAGTCATTCTGTTGTCTTAATTTCCTTTGACACCCAAAGTAGACACTATGCACCATCAGACGTATGTCCCACACTTAAAGCAGATTTCAAAAATTTCAATGAAAATATAATTATCTGTCATGAGACCCCCAAAAAAGTTCAAGAACGATGGAAGTTTATCAAAAACGCTAGTCAGTTCAATACTGTGCCCATTATAGAGTAGGAACTTAAAACATTTTTTTGAATGAATGAATGACAAACAGTTCTGTTAAAGAAATTAATGTATTAGTCCTATGATAACCTCTTAGAGTGAAAAAGTGGTCAGGTGCGATGGCTCATATCTGTAATCTCAACACTTTGGGAGGCCGAGGTGGGCGGACCCCTTGAGCCTAGGAGTTTGAGACCAGCCTGGGCAACATGGTGAAACCCCATCTCTATAAAAAAAATACAAAAATTAGCTGGGCATGGTGGTATGTGCCTGTAATCCCAGCCACTCGGGAGACTGAGGTAGAAGGATATGTATTCACACAGGTATACATTTGCATTAACATAACTGGAAGAGAGCAGGGCAACTCTGTTCCCATTCAACCACAGATTGTTAGCTTCAAGAGAACATTTTGTTTGGCTTAATAATGTATCCCAAGTGACCAGAACCGTGCCTGGCATATACTATAGACATTCAAAGTCACTTGTTGAATAAAGAAGAAAGACCTTTAAATTAGAAAGTATTTAATCAATACAAAAAGAAACTGAAGGCCAAGATAGATGAGAAAATAGCACAGAAGGAACATCCCAGAGCATTTCAGAACCATGGATATGGAACTGCTGTTAATGTTTGTTGCGGAACTGCAGAAAATGGGAAAGTTACCAAAGGATTAGAAATAGGCAATTATTGAGCTTGTTTCACAGCACAAAAAAGCAGACTGCAGAAAAGGAGGAATTAGTTATTGAATACTAGTCAAATTCTAGAAAAAAATATGAAAAAGCTCATGTGTGATCTTTAACCAAGTGAAGAGGTGACTAAGCAAAATGAGTTCATGAAAATGTAAGGCATAAGTAGACCTTATTGTAGACACTACTGATGGGAATGATCCGTTAGAAACTAAAGACTCAAATATATTTATCTGAAATTAAACAAGACATCTGTTACGATTATCCTTCTGCATAAGATGAAGCTATATGGGTTAACTGTGGTAATCTATATAGCTGATTGAAGAATGAATATCTTTGTTGTTAAGATATAAACAATGAGGTTTACATTCTCTAAGTTCAATCAGCGATTAATGGCAGGAAAGGCAAGCTTATTGAAATGTTAATGATACAGTGCTACCAAGGCTAAAATGAAAAAAGTGGATCTCGATTCAAAAAGATTCTGATGACCTGGAACAATGACTTGAAAATCACAATAAATATAAGTCTTACATATTGAGTCAGAAAATCAATTGTCTGTATATTGGATGAGGAGTCCTACCTTATGAATATTTTTTACATTGTTTATCTAATTTAGTCTCACAACAACTGTGTAAGTTTTCATTTTTATTTTAGAGAGGTAATATGTAATGATTATGGGTATGAATTCATAAGCTTAACACTTGGGTTTAAAATCAACAGCTACACTACTTAATAGTGTGAGCAAGTTACTAAACCTCTCTATGCCTCTCAGTTTTCTCATCTGTAAAATGGGAGTGAGAATATTAACTAATGCATAGGGCTGTCATGAAGATTATTAATAAAGTGCTTAAAACACAGCTAACAGTGTTAGCTACTTTAATTATTGTTTTATAAATGAGAACCTAAGGTGTACCTAAGGACATATATCAGGTAAAAATAATATCTAATGGCATTCCTGGGTATCTTGTTTTAAAAGGGACACTGACAAACTACAGTCTATTGAATGGGGCATCTGCAGGAAGAGAGAATAGAAAATTGGGGCATTTAACTTATTTGGTGACCCTTAATTTTAAAAGGTTCAAATTTTAGATTACCCAGGCATTAGAAAACAACGACAAACTATGCAACAACTTGCTAACAATTAGTACCACCAAAGAAAACCCAGTCATTTTATGAGGTCTTCTGTCCATAACGTCTAGAGTTGAATGACCAACCTGTCCTAAACAAGGCCCCTTTACAACATATGTTGGATCCTATGTTCACTGAATCTGAACAAATTTAAAACGTTTGTTCTAGGTCTCCCAAATTCATAATCAGTGAAACAAAAAAAAAAAAATCTAAAAAAACTGTAGAATTTTTAACTTAATGTAAACAACAATGTAGCTACTGAATATTTTTTCATACATTAGCCATTTGTGATAAATTTTTAAAAATCACATTTATATAACACTACACCTTTTTGTTGGTCTTGAAACTTTTAAAGATTTAACAGGTCTGCCTTTTTCCTCTTCTCTTCTTTTTGCCAACTCCTCAGCAGAGAGATGCTAAAACAAAATTCCAATTGATTAAGGAATCCATCAACTACTAAGAGGCAGAATAAAAAATAGTCCTTTAAAACCAAATTTAAGGGCATGTGAAAACAAGAGAAACTAAACTGATACAGATGGGTTTTCTTTTTTGCTACCAACACGGTACAAAGGCTGGACAGTATTTTTTTAAAAACTGTTTCAAAAGATATAGCCATCCCAAACTGAAAATCTACTTCTCTTGATTTGCCCATTTCAATGGTACCAGTCACCCAGGTTCGAAAACCTCAGAATCACCGGAGTCTTTTATTTCCCGTTTCTACTTACCATATTCTACGGTGTTGAGTTTTCTTTCACAACTGGCACAGTGCAGAGTAACGATTAAGAACAGATTCTGGATCTAGAATGTCTGGCTATGTATTTACTAGCTGGGTGACCCTAGGCAAGTTCTAAAGCTTTCATGCTTCAGTTATGCCATTCTTAAAAATGGGAACAATAAAAGTAATAATAAAAAGTAAATAATAATACCACTGTTATGGTATTATTGTGAAGACTGAGTTCATGTTTATAAAATACTGACAACAGTGTGTGATACATAGTAACCCTTTATGGGTGTTTACAAAATAAAATAAACCTCTACTTATTCCATTTCTATGACTAACCAGTCCAAATGAACTATGCACCTTTTCCAGAATACATCCAGTATTTTTCCATGTCTCTAGCTTTGTTCCCTCAGCCTGAAGTGTTTTCATCTCCTTTTTGAGATTCTTTTCAGATCCTTCAGATCAGATTATACTCCACATATTCTATGAAACCTGCTCTGATCACACCCTTTGGGAAAACCTTATAATTCTTGGGACCAACATTATTGAACTTACCATAGATTTTGTCTTTCCTATTAGAAATACAAGTCCCTTACCAGAAGGATGAATTACTAATGACTGGGCCTAGAATGGTACTCAGGTGAGAAGTTGGGGGCAGGGAAGGTAGAGGAAGAAAGACAGACAACTCAAGTTTGTTGAGTACCTTGTGCATGCAAGGCTTACTGAATACCTAGAATTAGGACCTTTATATAGTCTATCTCATTTCTTTCTTACAACAATCCTTTGAGGGAGGCATTACTATTATTCACAGTTAGTAAGTTAAAAAAACATGAGATTCTGTGGAAGGTTAAGTAGTTGCTCAAAGTAACAAAGCTATTATGTACACATTCACACATTCTATCCATTTTACTGCACTAGCTGTTACAAAAAAAATTATATATTTAGAAGACACGTGTGTGTATACACACAACCACAAAATTCACTGTCTATGTTTCCTCTTATGACGGTAGTTTTTATTATTAGAAATAACACTTAAATATTTGTAACTCAATTGTTATCTAATGCTTAGAACAGTATTTTAATTGGTGTATCAGAACCTCATCCAATAAATGTTTAATGAAACGAACTGGGCATATCAATTTCTTGACACACTTATCTTGAGCTAGAGATAAGAATATAAAGACAGAGAGTTCTGAAATGAGTTAAAATCCTAGTTAACTGTACCACCAATGCCTTCTACTTTGGCGTTTACTGGTGACTTCTAGACAAACAAATTAACATGGGAATGAAGACATATATGTTAATGTATGAAACAAGTACAACACATATGACATTAAGATGTACAAATACATATTTAAAAAGCAGTTTTCATGGATGAGCCATTTGAAAGGTCAAAGTTACCTCAAATGTTTGTCCTTCTAAGTCCTTTGCATCACACCAGTTTCCCCATGGGTCTCGGACCCTACGTCTCCTTGTACGCTGTGATGAAATTAAAGAAAAGCAAAAGGTAGAAGGATTAACATGGAGAAATCATAGCACATTAATACACAAAATGAAAATAATAATTATCTAAAAGTCAATTAATCTATCAATTTAAATAGTATAATCTCCGGCAATGCCTGACAAACTTTTATTTTATTAATTTATGTTCAATAGTTAGCACTCTGCTTACAAATATAATAAATCAGTGATGGCTAGGTAAGGGCAGGAGCACCAGCAGCAGGTGGGCAGGGTGTGGGTTGGGTGCTGGCAGCAGGTATTAAAAAATAAGATCAGTAATGATTTTCTGTATTTTGCTTGCATTCCTTCTTAGCTTCCTATTTCCTTTCATCATGTAGGAGCTAAAACACTAGGAGAAAAATATTTTTAAGATCAAAAAGAACCACCAAGAAAATGGCTTTTCAACCACTTGTGATAGAAAATCTGCAAGAACACACAGCAAGAGGTGTAATACTGAAAACTAGAAGCAAAATAATTATCTCTCAGCTTTGGAAAGGAGATGGCCTAGTTGATCAAATAATGAAAAATTACAAAGTTGGTTGACCACATTATTAACATCCTGTTTTGCAAACCTCAATAGTGAGGCCTTTAAAACGGACCAGTTGCCAAAGGACAGTGTATGACTAGTACCATATACAACAACTCTACTTGAAAGCATTCTTTAAGATAGTAAATCTAGATAGAAATGGTTTATAGCCTAAATACTCTGAGAAAAACAGCTATTCGAGTACCTATACTTTCTTTTTCATTTATCTTACCTATTACTAATTTAATTCATTAGTAAAACTAACAAGATCATATTATGACTCTGCCTTATAAAGAATGTTGGATAACATTTTATTTATTTTTTCCCCAAGATGTATTTTTTTTCTAGTAGGTAACTTTAAAGTATGATTTACAGATGTAAAAATATTATAAAACTGACTCCAAGAATTAAAAAATAATGCCTAGTTATTCCAAAAAGGTGATTCTTAAGGTTAAGAATTTTAAAAGAATAAATGAGAAAAAAACCCCTGAACTATATAGTTTTAAAAGACACATTAGATTTATAAATCAAAATGAAGCATCCCAAGACCATTTTAACAAAACATTATGCTTCTGCATCAAGTCTGCTAGTACGTTTTAAGGATTTTTAGGTTTGTTTTTGACTTAGAAAGCAAGATGAAATTGAATGAAAGCCAGAAATGTGAATGGCTAAAGTGAAATACAAGAGGAAACATGTTTTTCTACTAAATGGCCATTTATTAAGCAGCTAAAGAGAAGTGCTGTAGGTATACCGCACTAAACAGGGTAAGCAGCAATGTGGAGAGATAGGACTGAGTGAGAGAGATGACTGCTTACCATAGACTGCAGACGCTGGGCAAGTTGATATGCTTCTACTGCATCTTTCCTGTCTCTGATTCGTACTTTGTCAACCGTTTGTGGCCTATTATATACAGCCTGTTCTATTGGAATTCAGGAAAGACAAAACCATCTATTATTTTGTGAAATTCATTTGTTAAATAGGAATACATGTACACTGACTATAGTGGAGATTCTATGACTCTTATTTCACAATCATATATTTGATGTGCTACTTAGCAGTCCTCATATAAAAGTAATGCTGTTATTACAAGCAAATCTCAATAACATGGAATATTTAGAAAATGAGTAATTTGTTTAATTTTTGCTAACTTTGGCAGTCTAATACAGAAAACATGATTTAATTTTTCTTTTGGTGGCTGAGGAAGCAAAAAATGCTTTAGTTTTCCTGAAAAGCTAGTCTAAATATTCAAAGCTTTGGGAAAACAAAGACACTGAAATGAAGGACAGACTCCAGGGCAAACTAAATTCTATCTAGCTCAGTATGAAATAGTCTTCCATGAAAAATATTTTGACACTTTTATTACATTTAAGTGTAGAGGCTCACAAATTATTTCCTTTATTTAAACAGTGCTAGGCAGCATTTCTAGCACGAATACAGTTTTTGCAAATTAAATGGGCTGTTACTAGACTTTTCATAAAACAATTTTACTTTTATCTGCTAAAGAACTGTATTCTTAAATTATTTCTGTTACTTAAACATTTTACCTTTAAAATTACACTCTCAATTTTCAGTGTAGGTCAAATGAAAACACAGTTTAACTAACAGTAAAATCTTAATAAAACATTTATTTCATAATTTTATAGCATCTCCAAATTCTACCTAAAACAACTTGAATTCTAACCATCATAGAAATGAATGGGCGCTATAAGGATAAAAAAAAAAAATGTCAAGTCAAAGATGTTGTTGGGTTATTTTTTACCACATCCAAAATTGATTGCTCCTATCAATTCGAGGTATGTATGAATCCGTCCAATACAATTAACATCCCCACAGTTCTTCAGGCCAGGACGTACTGAGGTCTTATTTAGGTATTTCGGTTTGCATATCTCCCTAATTAAGAGATGGAAGTACAATTATTTTTGATAAATAGAAATGTGAAAAAAGATTTCTGGGGAAAACTTTAAATATTTGAAATATCTTAAAATTTTACCTTTTCAATGTATAAATGTGTAATAAATACAATACTAATACATAATACCAAGAGTACTTTTTTCTGAAATAAAATGTCTATAAATGATACAATAACTTATTAGTGTAATTTTTTACAAGCATTATTTTTTTCCCAATGTTAAATTCATAGATTCCAGTTATCCCAGGACCTTGAAGTTAGAAATTTATTTATGTACAGATACAAATTGAATCTTCAAATACAAAGAACACTTTGATAATATATAGAAAATATTAGACATTTTCCATTTTTAATACATTACTTAGGTTCATCTACTCTTATTTTGCTGAACAGTTTCTTTCAATTATCAGCTATCTTATAAATGCTTAAACATTTTATATTTGTTTTTAATTATGATGACAACAAATATTAAGTACTCTCAGTGGAAAATAGAAACAGATGTAATAAGGGATTCCAAAGTGGAATCAAGAAACTCCCAAAGATTATAAAAGAAAAAAGAGGTTTATGTAACAAAACATGTATTTACTGAATATTCTTAATGTACCTTGCTAGATGGCACAATATAAAATTCGAGTAATAAAGAACTTAGTAGAAACTAATTACTGAGTGCTTATGCCAGATTATTGTACTGAGTTACACATCCTTAATCTTCACAATTATACAAGGTGATTTTATTAATATTATTCTCATTTTGGAAATGAGGAAACAAGGGGGTCGGAGTAAAACGCTTACACAAGGAAGTGAGAGAATCAGAATTCAAGTACAGATATAAATTAAGGTATTCAGATGTCTCATATAACATGTGTATTTCTCATTCAATTATTATTTTATTCCATAAATATATTGTTCTAAGCACTAGAGACACAGAGATAAACAATGTAAAATTTCTGACCTTACAGATCTTACATTCTAATGGAAGGGACTATCAATAATCAATGAACAATATATATTACATTTTCAGGTAGCAATAGTGCTAAGTAAGAAGGTCAAGAGGCTAGGGTGGGACAAACAGGCACAGACTACTTTGGATAGATAGGGTGTTGGCCTCACTAAGCAGAATAGAGGGTAAAAATAATTTATGATGTGGGAGGGTATCACAACTTCCATAGAAACGTTGAGATTTCAGTGTGTCTTGCAATAAAAGGAAACAAAATTATACAAATGAAGGCAATAAAGCAGGCAAGAGCATGGCTACCAAGAAACCAAAGTAGTCTGAAAAAAACTAGACTGAGCTAACAGAAGACTACTCAAATTAAAAGGCTTTAAACAGAACTCAGTAATCTAGCACAGTGCTGAACAAATGGTAAGTACTCTAAAAATACCTGTTCATGGAATAATGATGATTCATATGTTCAATCTTCCCCCTAACAAATAAGAGTGTCTTCTATATTCTAGGCATTGTTTAAGAACTACTGATTCAACAACAAACAAAACAGATAAAAATCTGCCCTCATGTTGCCTGCATAATAAGGGGGTTGAGGGGAGAAGAGACAATACACAAATAAAAATGTATTATTTTTGGTGGTAATAAGTTCTGCGAAGAAACTAAAACACAGGAAAAGAGAATGAAAGGGAAGAGATACATGAGATACTTTAGATAAGCCTCTAGTTTCCCTTGACCAGACTTCAATGCAACAAGAAAGCAACACTTGCCAGACTGGGGAAAGAACATCCAGTAAAAAGTCAGGGTCAAGGCCCTGAGTTGGAAGTGTGAAAATAATGAGTCAAGAATACAGACTCCAATATCCCCTTTACTAGGGTGACCTGGAACAAGTTTTTTATCCTCTGTGAACCTCATTTTTTCTTATCTATAAAACAAGAATGAGGTTGTCAAAAGGAGTGGAGATGATTTAAATACAGTGCATGGTATTTGGGAGGCATTCAGTCATGGTACTGATTACTATTTTAATAAAAATATTCCCCTAACCAGGGAATCAACTGCATCTGCTTTTATGATAAGGATCTTTTATCCATAAACAAATCTGGCAGGCTTCTTTTTATTTTAAAACTTTAACTCTTCCGTCTATTTTTTTTTACCACCACCTCCAGTCCCTAACCCACTCACTCTCTTCTATTTCTGAACAGATGTGAGTTCCTGTTCAAAACATTTTTTGCCTTCACACTGTTCTGCTAAATCACCATAATAAAATAGCAATACCTAACCAGTTTCATGAACCAAGGCAAATGACTTAGGAAACTACTGGCATGTAATTTATAATACCTATATAAATTATTCTGCCTCATTTGGAATCCAAAATTCAAAGTAACAAATATAGAATTTGATTAAAGTAACAATTAAGTATACACTGATCATTCATATGGACATTTTTAAGAGATAGGATCTTGCTCTGTTGCCCAGGCTAGTGTACATACAGAGGCATGATCCCAGCTCACTGCAGCCTCAAACTCCTGGGCTCCAGTGAGTCTCCTGCTTCAGACTCCTTAGTAGCTAGGACTACAGGCACACAACATCGTGCCTAAGATTTAAAAAAAATTTTTTGTAGAGACAGGTTCTTACTCTGCTGCCCAAACTAATCTCAAACTCCTGGCCTCAAGTAATCCTCCTGTCTCAGCCTTGAAAACTGCTGGGATGACAGTTGTGAGCCACTGCTCCTGGCCAATACGGACATTTTTGAGTTAGCTATTATTTCAAGGTCTCTAAATTTTGGCCATTCACCCTCTTATTTCCAAAAACAAAAGTAGATACCAATAGAAATTTAACTAGTCTTTGTTAAAAGTGTGAATTAGGCCATGGGGAATAAGAATGATTTATAGTCAAGACTTGGACTGATGTCCTTCATGTGTCAGTGACTGGTTGTAAATCAAAGGCAGGTCTCTAAACCTCTCCTGATCTCAGCATCATTCTCTATCAAATAGATATAATACCATCTGCATATTTTACAGGATTGTTTTAAAAAATCAAATATGATAGAGGAAAGCTATTTAAAAACTATAAAGCACTACGTAAAATCAGGAGTTGTTCCTTACAAGGATACTTGTATGATGCCGCCCTGACCCACATGTATTTTCAGCACCTCAACCATCTGTAAAATAAGAGTAAAGAAAAAGGACAAAGCTCCTCCTATTAGAATACAGCCATCTTTAAAAACCAGTGACTTATATTGTGTGGGTAAAATAAAGGTTACTGCTTTATTATAGCCAGTTGTTTTCCTTTGGTAACCCTTCTAGGTTATAGCAGAAAGTTACTGCAATAGGACCGGAAGGCTTTGATACAAAAAAACAAGCAAGAGACAAAGCAGAACCCCTGCTCACGGAACTAGGAAGCTCTCTATAAAGATGGCCCTATAAAATCTGATAGCTTCTGAAACAGTGTTGGCAATTATGAATCTGCTTTGGTTAAATTTTTTTGAGATGAAGTCTCGCTCTGTTTCCCAGGCTGGAGTGCAGTGGCATGATCTCGGCTCACTGTAACCTCTGTTTCCCAGGTTCCAGCAATTCTCCTGCCTCGGCATCATCAGTAACTGGGATCACAGACACCTGCCACGATGCCCGGCTTTTTTTTTTTTTTTTTGTATTTTTAGAAGAGACGGGGTTTCACCATGTTGGCCAGGCTGGTCTCAAACTTCTGTCCTCAAGTGATCCGCCTGCCTCAGCCTCCCAAAGTGCTGGGATTACAGGCATGAGCCACTGAGCCAAGCCAGCAATTACAAATGTTTAATGATGGCTTAATTAAGCTATTTATAAAAATTCAAACTAGGCTAATAAGGTGGGAAATTTTTTGGTTTATTCCCTAGCCCTCATTAAATAATTAATAAGTGGTACTGACAATTTAGAGAATTAGCCTCATCTATCAGAAAACTGCACCCTGATAAAGCTGAAGAAATTAACAGCACATTATTGCCACAAGTTCAAAGTTAAAAGCATTTAAGATCACTATTTAGAAGAAGTGTTTCTGCAATCTGGCTATATCTAATACTATTCCTGTCATCGAACTTTTCTTTGTATTCAAAGAACATGATAAACTTGAAAGAATTATTTCCCTTTTCCCGTACAGTAGTGTTCACTTTATATCTTCCTAACACTGTCCTAGGAGACTGTTTCATAAAACAATCAGCTGTCCCTTTTACCAGGCCCACAATCTAAGAATAGACAAAAAGATGGGTTATGATAGCTATAAGTGATGTTTACTAAAGCTTTCAAAGTTTCATCACAAGAAATTTTAAATCTTCCCTACTGAAGTGATCTCTAGATTTACCAGCAAAATTCTAAGTTCTGTATAGGCCTAATTAAAATACTTCAGAATATCAGGTTTTTAAAACAACATCTAAAATGTAACTCTTTCTTACCATTGATCCAAAATGTAATTTCTAATTTTCAAATAGCGTTCTGGTGTTTTAGCTTGGCGTCCCTCAAAAAACTCAGGAATTGCTTGTTTTTCTTCTTCTTGAATGATATTTCTATCTATTTCTATTTCCTGTTCTGGTGCTTTAAGCTCTTCTTCCTCATGACTTTCCTCTACCATTTGGCAAGAAGAATCAAAAAGCATTTCATTATCATTCAAATCTTTCTGACTTTCACAAGGCTCTGGAGAAGGCAGCTGCCTGGCGTCAACTATGATTCCCCTTCCATCATGTTTGTTGCTATTTTTAATCAATTCATTAAATTTCTGATCATTTAATTTGACTGAATTTTTGTCACTGCTACTCTGTTTCTGTGTCCACAATGTAATTTCCGAGCTTGAAAGTGTTTCATCTTGCTTTTCATTTTGAAGACGGTCCCTGGAAGACTTAGAAAAGACAGCTTCCTGGCTGTCAGAAGCAATGAATTCTCCTTGATTGGTTTCATGAATTTTACTATCAGGAAAATCTAACAAGATATCACTGCTAGAATTCTTTTGGGGTGTTTGAGAAGACAACTCGTCCACCTCATCTGTGATGTCTACTTCTTCATCATCAGATAACTTTTCAATTTTTACAGCATTCAAGTTGGGATCAGCACGTCCCCTGAAACATGATGGTGTCCATGCCTTTGTCCCTTTATTTTCATTTATAACTTGAAGATTATGGCCGTTCTTCTGATTTGGTGTTTCTTTCTCCAGGCCGCATTTGACCTTATTAAAAATCAGAATAAAATCCCCATAATATTAAGATTTAAAAATTTAATCATTGGCACACAAAAAAAGGATAAATACAGTGTTATTAAACTGAGTACATGTTAATGGTACATTATACCTTTAATGCACTTTTCTTTAAAGGGTTTATAACTGCATTTTAGACAAGATTGGGCGCATTCAGGGTGGTATGGCCATAGACTACAACTGCATTTTAAATATAAAGGATCAGCATTTAAAATTTCTATAACTATATAACTAATTCATGGGTCTGGTGATTATTAGTCAAATAATCATGACCTATATTTAACTACTACTTATTTTTTAATATTAAGTTGAAAACAGCAGCCTGGCTCAGATCAACCATGTGTAATGAACCAGTAACTATTATACTATACTAAGGTACTGTACAATATATTGAAATATTTTTAAAGGCTTATTTCTCAGAACATCTGATACTACAGCTGATTCTTTCTTATAATGCTAAAATAATCCTTACAGAAATCTAACTGACATCTTCACTGTGTATATTAAAACTATCTTCCATTTAAATAAGGGACAACAGAAACAAACTGTTTTTTGCAGGCTTATTTAATAAACTTATATTATAGAGATTACACTTTAAGCCATAAAATTATCTCATATACCTATTAATATAGACATAAATATCTGGTAATGTAATAAAAAAGAGATAATGAAAGTGAATGAGCAAATATGAAATAAAATCCTTATATACAAAGTTTTTGAAAAGTCTTATAAATGACTGACATACATAAGGGATATGACAGCTCTCAGAAAAAGATTATTTATAGATCCTGAATCATAAGAAAATTCCATGATTAAATATCTGACATTAACTGGCTTACTACATAGGGAATGAAAGGGTAGCAGGAGGGAAAAAGAGATTTGGACATATTACCTGAAATAGCTTTTAACATTGTTATTTATTTGAAGTATCCTGTCTACATTTTTAAAAATTCAGATGAAATTCTGTATTGATTTCATAATATACTAATCCCTTTTACAATATGAAAAATGTACCCTTCTACCCCAGGTCTTTAAGTATAACTGGCACCCCAAGATACACAGCATGTATCTTAGAAGCCTAAGAGTAAGAATAAAGTTAAGCTTTATTCTGTCCTGAGGTATTAACTAAACCTGGGCGAGCCGACTTAAATATGCTTCTGTTGCCAGACTTAGCGGCTCATGCCTGTAATACCAGCACTTTGGGAGGCTGAGATGGGTGGATCACCTGAGGTCAGGAAATCGAGACCCACCTGACCAACATGGTGAAACCCTGTCTCTACTAAAAATACAAAAAGTTAGCTGGGCTGGTGGCGGGCATCTGTAATTCCAGCTACTAGGGAGGGTGAGGCAGGAGAAACTCGTGAACCTGGGAGGGGAAGGTTGTGGCGAGTCGAGATCACGCCATTGCACTCCAGCCTGGGCAACAAGAGTGAAACTCAAAAAAAAAAAAAAAAAAAAAAAGAAAAAAAGAAAATGCTTCTGTTTGGTTGAAAGATAGAGCATATGATTGATGTATGATGAATCTATTCCATCAGTTACCACCTATGTCTAGCTAACACTGAAACAAATCTTATATACAGGGTAGGACTCATTATCTACATGAAAAGAAAGTATCAAATTTCACTCAAGACACTTCCAAATTTATATAATTATGTTCCTAACTTCAAAGAGAATATATTAAAAAATTCTAAATATCAAGCATATAGCACAAATTACTTAAAAGATTAAGGAACCAGGCCACAATTAAACCTTTCTTAAAAATGCAGTTTATTAAAGTTTTAGACAATTCTTCACAGGAATTATAAAAATTTCATTGCTATTTAACAGATTTCAGAATCATAATAGCATTGACCTCCTCTAAGTGCTAATAATTCTTAAAAGTTTCAAGAAAAGTTATTTTCCTGAGGAAACAATAAGATAAGATCGCTAAGATTTTCTCCTTGGAATATAATTTGCTTTATGGGATATTTTTGAGCAATTACTGTTTTGTTCATTTAACTTTATAAGATTAAGTAGAATAACATGATACCTATTTAATGGCAATACTCAACACTGAAGATATGCTCTGAGATTTTGCATAGTACTCTGTGGGCATAAACTACTTTAAAAACTTTTAACAGTAAGAATTTAATGCCTGAATTAAAGGAATACTTCTGCTTACTTTGTTTTTTCTAAATATTTTCATTATCAATCAGGATACTGATATTCTGCTTACCTTATTTTTAAAATACTGTCTTGCATAACTCTTCACTTGTAAAACAGTGCGACTTCCAATTAACTTTGAAATTTTGGTCCATCTTCGGCCAAATTTAGACTGTATTATCAAAATGGAAAAAAATTGCTTTTGATTAATTTACTTATGAATAGTCCAAGCAACTGCCACATTAAAAAAAAAATCTTTATTTTCTGAAGCACACTGTAGCATCTTCTATATAGACTATGCTCTTAAAATCAAAGCCTACGTTCTTCTTTTTGAAACTGAACTGAAAACTGATGGAAAAAAAATCTTTATTTTCTGAAGCACACTGTAACATCTTCTATATAGACTATGCTCTTAAAATCAAAGCCTACGTTCTTCTTTTTGAAACTGAACTGAAAACTGATGGAAATGATTTAGAAACTACTTTTTTAAAAGAATAACTATTTAAATGAAGATATCACCTAACTGTATGAATTAATATTATAAGTTATGATGTTCCAAATCTAAAATAACTTTTTAAAATAAATAAGTGCCTGAAAGGGGTGTAGGTTACATTTTCCATTTATATGATCAACTGAACATGTTCTGTGCTAATTTCAACATAACGTTTTTTAAACCAGATTCCATATTTTGCAATACTCATTAGGTGTCTCGCAGCAGAGACTTCTACTCTATCAGATATCACAGTGAACTGACCTAAAAGACTAAATCACAAATGAGGAAGTCCTATAAGAAATACCTTCTTTGTTAAGATGCTATAAGCTGCAAGAGTTCAAATCACCTATTTGATTACCCATCACTGAGTTTGTCTTGAATGTGTATATGCTACACACATTCATAAACTCTGGTTTTCACTTGTTAATGTCTTTGTCAGTTTTTATTTCGAGACAGAGTCTCACTCTGTTGGCTAAGGGCAGTGGTGTGATCACGGGTCACTGTAGCCTCAACCTCCTGGGCTCAAGCAATCCTCCCAACTCCGCCTTCCCAGTATCCCAGTAGCTGGGACTACAGGTACGCACCACCAGTCCTGGCTAATTTTTTATTTTTTGTAGAGATACGGTCTCACTATGTTGCCTAGTCTACAACTAATGCCTTCTGACACCTCCCGTACCCCAGTGTCAAAGGCTGTGCAACTCTTAACACTGAAGCTGTGGAGAGGAAAATATTGAGAACTTGAGGGAGCTCCTGTGTGTTCTCAAGCACAGAAAGAAACACACAGATTGACAGCTAAAAGGGATTGTTAGGTATCAAGTCTAACTATAATACATAAATCCTCTTTGAAATATCCCCAACATAAGATATTCTCTACTTCCTAAGGTAGCTCAATAATTCTAAATTTTTAGAACTCTTAAAACTACAAAAAACAAAAAACTAGTAATAACTTAGGAAAGCTGACCCTGGTGTTAGATTTACAGGCCAGGCAGTCATGCCTTACGGTAGCAAATCATCTTCAAAGATCTGGCCAAAATGATAAACCTTAATTTAAGTAAATTTCTGATATTCATTAGAAAACATGACATACAGACAATTTCTTAAACTCCAAGTACTTCTGAAAATTATTAGCAAATATAAGTTAATTATTTGATATTGCTCTTAACACCTCGCTGAGATCAACTTACTGAAGAACTATTTATCTTTATTGTGGGATGAAGGCAAATAGGTAATACTGGTAGGTAGCATAGAGCATTTGTGGAAACAGGACACATCTGGATTAAGGGATGATTAGTAGAAAAGTAGGGACTTAGGCACTAGAAAAATTGGGGAAAGAACACTAACAAGAGGAGCAAAGAAGCCAGGCACAGTGGCACATGTCTGTGGTCCTAGCTACTCAGGAGACTAAGGCAAGAGGACTACCTGAGCTCAGGAGTTAAAAGCCTGGTTTCTAAAAAGAAAAAAAAAAAAAAAGTAAAACAAGGAGCAAAGAAAATATTTACCAGTTTCAAAATAGAGCAAAGGGAGAGTCCCATGCCCAAGAAAGGGAAAGAAAAAACCTTTCTTCATCATTCAGTACCACCCAATTCCCTACAAGCCTGAGAGAATTCAGTCTATAAGCAAACTTTATTAATGGGTAAGAAACGCTGAGAATACAACCAATAATTCCATGCTTTTTGTGTAGGAAAACATTCCAAGTTTAAAATCTCCCTTAATGTAGATAGGCAAATGTCTACATATCTCTATATAAATAAATAAATATTTGCTTATGTATGGACAAATATCTCTGGAAGGAAAGACTTCTTTTTCAAAGAGTCTTTTAAACACTGGTTACCCCAGGCAAAGAGAACTGAAGGCTAAGATGAGAGTGAGAAGACTTACTATCCTATAACTTTAGGAACCTTTTGAATTTTAACCATGCAAATGTAGTCCCCATAAGTACCATCAACATAAAAACTAAGCCTAAAACTGAGTCTTAAATTCAATCTATTTGTTTATGCATGTATATATGTGTTAGTACAAACTGCACCATGTTGTAAGCTCCCTGCTATTTTGCAGACCTTGGTCAAAGTGAAACATTTCACAGGGGTTCAGGCCATGAGAAATATCCTGTCTAACCACCTCACCACAAGGCTGACAAAGGCCCAACTAAAGAAATGTCCCTATCATATCCTGCTGGACAAAGGTTCAAGGAACACCGGAAACACCACAACGACATCCCTCCAGAACCAGGGCCAGAACTGCCTCATCATGGGAGCATCTTATCAATATCCTGCTGGGCAGCAAGTCATACTGCCTAGACCCCTTCTGCCTATACCTATATATTGCTTAGGCTGTAAGCAGCAGTGGCTCTGGCAATAGGCTGGTCTACCACTTCTGTAGGTTTTACGCTGGACCTAAATCCTGTATTTGCTGTTGAGCTGCCCTCCTTGTGTGTATCTTTCTTTAACCCTTGCCTTCCCTTCAAAACCTAACATTATGTGTCTGGTCTTTGATAAGGGACAAAACACCAAAAGTTGTTAGGAATCTTAAATAAATAACTGATTAATTAAAGTTAGATTCTATAAATGATAATCATGCAACAGACTGAAAAATAAATACAAAAAACATCACCAGTATAGGAAAAAGTCTTTAAGAGATAAAAACTTCAAGAGAGTTTATATATTTATATAAGAATATCATAGAGTATATAGATGTCATGGTGTTGACTAAAATATAAACACATTTCTCACCATCTGTAGAAATGTTAATGATACTTCAACTAGAATACATGAATTTTATTTTATACATACAAATATTCTATACATGTAATGTATTACATATACATAATTTCAACATTACTTAGAACACTACTAGGTAATATGTACCTTATAGGAAAAGATATAGAGCAATCTTGATAGTAAAAAAAATTTTTTTTAAATCCTAAGTATTTTTTTGTAAGTTTCTTCATATTAAGGGGTATTTTCAGAATTAGTAACCAGAATATGTATCTTTTCCACTATGCAGCATGTGGACATTTAAATAGATCTCAGTGTAATAGACATTCACACACAATAAATGTTTCTGGTCTTCATTTACAGCCACTGAAATATTTATTTAGGCAGTGTATACAATGCTAAATTATCTGAATAAAAGCTCAGCTGATCGCCCAGTTTCAAATACACAAGTTTTTGTTTTGTTTCGAAAAAAAGAGACTACTAAATAATTTTGTCTTTTGATCCAGGTAGTTGGTGTTATATATAGAGATAGACCTCAATTTCTTGGATTTTGATAATACCAAAAGAATGTGAAAACTACAAATCTAAATCTATTTTAGTATTTTAGTACCTTAGATATAAGTTAAAAGAAATTCTCTTGCACTATACTATAAACATCATTATTCTAACTACAGAAGAACTAAAGGCGTTATAACTGTAATTAAAATGAAAATTCAGGTCTCTATAAATTAATTTAATCTTTTAACTTTACCAATATTTGCTTCTAGAATTATTTTACTAAAAATTTAAAATTGCTCTATTTACCAGCCCTTGTTCAAACAGCTCTTTTTCTTCTATCGTCCACTTTACTGAGTAACTGGCTGGTTTTGTAGGAGAGTGTACCCTGAGGGGAAAAAAAGGAATTGCAAAAAAAATTTCTGAAATGGAACATTCCATATTTATGTAACTAAAGGTTATAGATAGCCATGGGCTAAATTCAATACGTTGAGTCTAAGAATTAAAAACAAACAAACAAAACAAGAAGGCTACAGTCTCTACCGGGGGGCAGAGATTTACCCTGTCACGTGTCTCTAGCTCAGGATGATGGGAGCCCCAAAAGACATAATCCTTGGGTCTGAGTGAGGGTAACACTAAAAGACATCAAAGGAAGTCAATGGGATAACAAACAAAAAGGCTCCCTTAGACTGGATACAAAGCAGTAGGTGTTAATATATTCCCAAATCCTGAAAGGCATGTAGACTTTAAACTGGGTCCAGAAATATTATCTCTTTAGTTCTTTCATATAAATCCATGTAAATATTAAGATAGAAAAGAAGTCAAAAACCACAACATTGTACTTATTGCTTTTAAAATTCGTTATTTGAAGGAATTAAAAACAAAACTGATGAAGCTCACCAACTTAAGCAAGCCATTAATACTTTTGTTAACTTCATTTTACTGTTTATTCAGCAAAATACAAAAGCAAAAGGCTGCTCAGTGCTCAACCTATTGGGCAATTACAAATATGTAAACTCACCCTTTAAGGGACCATAAACTTCCAAATTCATAAATGCTAAATACTGTTCTTTCAATGATAGGGATAGGGTATTTTTTTAAGTAGTTAATTTCTCCAGATAATTTTTGAAAGCCACAAATCCAAATAAAAATTTTGTTGAAAATTAACTGACAGAACGAAAGAAATAAATTCCAATATATTACATAACAGCTTCTCACATAACAGCTTCTCAAAATGTCCTCATGAATCCCTAGATACCTATATTTTCCACAATCTGATGGGATTTCCTATGTAGGGCTATAAAAGAAATTCTGGCAAATAAATATCATCATAAAATCATACTTGTGCCAGTCTAACATCATTATAAAAAAACTATTTTTATATCTACTTAATGTTTTTGTATAACCCAAGGTCAAGTGGGCTTTTCACAGGCCAACTATAATTAAAAAAAAAATTCTTCCCTAATTTTTAACTAATCAAAAAGAATTTAGAAATGTAAAACATAAGTACATACATGATTTTTGCTGTTTTCTGCAGACTGCATCACATGAAAAAAAGAAAATAAGGAAGTGTGTGAGGTTTCTAAAAATACAATCCAGACTCTCAGAAATATTATAAATTGATTTTACCTCTTCACATATTTTTTATCATCTTCCTTTTGATCAAGCCAGACTTTTCCCGGTAGTGATTTTTTAGATAAATAATACCTGTGTAATTATTAAGGAAACATTTTAAATAATATTACAGTCGTAATTTTTATATGACTGTAATACTTACATTACTTATACAAAATGTGTGCTATATAAATGTTAATAGTTCCCTTGTCTTCCCAATTAGAAGTGACTACAAGAAGAGAGGAGGAAAGGGAGGCGGGAAAAATAAAAAGAAAAAAAAAAAGAAGTGACTACAAGAAGAAACAGCCTCTGTGTTTAAATCAAGCTTGTCCAACCTGCTGCCTGCAAGCCACATGCGGCCCAGGGCAGCTTTAAATATGGCCCAACACGAATTCGTAAGCTTAAAACATTATGAGGTTATTTTGCATTTTTTTAAGCTCATCAGCTATCATTAGTATATTTTATGTGGGGCACAAGACAATTTTTCATCCAATGTGTTCCAGGGAAGCCAAAAGATTGGACACCCTGGTTTAAATCTTTTCTTCCAAAACATATGGAGAATGTAATAGATGAATTTGGTTGGTTGTCCAAGGCAATTTTAATTTTCCACCCATTTCTAAAGCCAATGGAGAAGAATCCAGGGATCTTCTTTACCTTAATAAAAATAGCAAACTTTAGGCTGGGCAAGGTGGCTCACACCTGTAATCCCAGCATTTTGGGAGGCTGAGGCGGGAGGATCATGAGGTCAGGAGATCGAGATCATCCTGGCTAACAGTGAAATCCCATCTCTACTAAAGTACAAAAAATTAGCCAGGTGTGGTGGCATGCACCTGTAGTCCCAGCTACTCAGGAGGCTAGGGCAGGAGAATCGTTTGAACCTGGGGGGCCAAGGTTGCAGTGAGCCGAGATCAACTGCGCCACTGCCTCCAGTCTGGAAGACGGAGCGACTCTGTCTCAAAAAAAAAAAAAAAAAAAAAAATAGCAAACATTTAGATCAAATTTACCCGGGATCCTTCCTCTCAAAGTTCTTATAACTAGCCTGATCAAATACTGTAAGCTTAGCCTAAGATATTCTTCACTTAACAAGTATTTATTGACTGGATACTATATACGTCAGGTACTATGCTAGGTACTAGGTGCTTAACAAAGATATTCTCGTTATTTATTTCCATATCTGGAAGTGAACCACTGACCACTTAAGCATTTTATCTAGACGTGCACAGTGGCTGCCAACCACGTGTGACCTCTAACCAGTGGAAACACTATTTGCATGAACTAGGATGTAGTCTAAGTATAAAACACAGCGGATTTCAAAGACTTAGTACAAAACAAAGAACATAAAATATCTCATTAATGTTTTTATCTTGATTAAATGTTAAAATGAGAATATTTTAAATATTTATATAATATATATTGTTAATATTAATTTCCTTTGTGTTAAGATGGGAAAATTTTAAATTATATGTGACTTTCTCTGAAGAGCAATAATCTAGGCTATAATTGCAATGTCTGGGGAGAATTAGAGAATAAGAAAGCCTAAGTGGGGTTAACCGATGATAACTGAAGGTACAGAGGCACTCTAAAATCGACATGGCAATAAGGGGAAATAGTGGGAACAGAGTAATTCTGGCTTAAATAGTGAGGAGAAATCCATAAAATGAAAAAGAGGTTAATAAACCCCTACTTATTAGAGTATGACTAGCTATTTTTATAAATCATAAAATCAGTAATCATTTTGTTCATTCTTTTCTTTTACATGTATGAAAGCTAAGCTATAAATAAGGATCTACAAATGTAGGGGAAAAAAATCTTCATTCGATAGTATTTGTTTTGAGCTTTTTATTTAGATTCCTCCCACATAACACCTGTAAATTATGAAGTGAGAAGAACTTTTACATGTTCCAACTCTGTGTCTTTGGAACAAATTAGCATCTCTGGGTTTCAGCTTATATAAGTTTAAAAATGCAAGCTTGGACTTAAGGTTCTAAATGACTTAAATATTCTATCATTTCTACTCAATATTCAGATATCATAAATAGTTAGCTAGTGACAGAAACTCAAAATATGCAATCAGATTGCAGACGTAGTAGTAAAAAAAACCCTGAAGAATAAAACGTTGCTTTTTGCATAGATAGGTAACATGATATTATATAATAGCAGTCTGGGGCTGAATAAAATCCATCTAGTAAACAGTGGCCTCTTGTAATTTTTGCATTTATAGATTTTTCACCCTGAGACCTGTACTTTCCTCATAATCATTAAAGGATACTCTTCTTCCAATAACATTTTCTCAATAACAGCTCTGTTCTCTTCACTGATGGTGTTATCCAAGGTCCAAGGCTATTAAAAAAGAGAATACATTTTTCTTTTTATTTATTGCTTTTTGAAATTATCTTCTATGCTTTGTTAAATAAAAATACAAAACACAATGATTACAAATTATAACAGCTACCATTTACTGGGCACACAGACTTATCTTTGATTACCACAGTAACACTGAGATAGGCATTAATACTTTACAGGTGCACAGCACTACTAGCATTTAAGTGGAAGAGCAGAGACTTTACACCCAAGTCTGTTGGATTCCCAGGCTCATGCTCCTGCCCACAATGAGGTAATAATGGCCATCCTATACAAGAAACCATTTGCTAGGCATCAGACACTCTGCTAGACACTTAATCTCTTTCCAAAACTCACCACTAACTCTCCTTTTTCCTCAGTTACAATCTTCATGATCCCACTTATTTTCAACTCCTCAAGTTAAAAATTTTCAGCTCATATCTCTTCTTTAAGATCTAGACAATAATATTCAACAGCCCATCCAAGACTTTTACTTGGATATCTAATTGACTTCTAGAACTTAACATATCTAAAACAGAACTCACCATCACGTATCTCCACCTGCTTCTCCCTCTGTATTCTCAACTTTACAAAAAGCACTATTACTCACTAAGTTATTCCATGTAGAAATTCAGGAATCATGGTGGATTCTTTCCTTTTCCCTTAATGCCCATATCCAATCTATCAACCAGTTCTACTGCCAAAATGTAATTCAAAGCTATCTATTCTATCTCTTCTGCTACTACCTCAGGCCAAGTCCCAATCATCAAATCTTGGTTCAACTGCTTTGAATGTTTCCTAACTGGTCCCTTCAACTCCACTCTCACTTCCCTCCAATCTTTACCACAGTACCCAAAATTCATTTTATAAAAATAAATTTGCTAATCTCTATAAAATCTATATGAAATGTTTCAATGATGTCCCAGTTCCTTTAAAACAAAATTTAAACCCTTTAGCATAATCCAACTCATAAGTCCTGCATGACAGAACTCTAGCCTGTCTCTCCAACTGTGTCACATGCTGCCACTCCTCCCTTTCCCAACATATTCTAGACACTGGCCTTCAACCAGAGCTTCTGGGGTTGCAGTTCCTTCTGTCTTTAATTTCTTCTTTTAATTTTTCACATATCTACCCTTTTCCCCATCATTTTCAACTTAAATCTCACCTCCTCTGAGTTTCTCTCACTGACAATTTAATCTAAACTAAGCTCCCCACTCTGGTACTCAGTCAGCATCTTGCTTATTTCTTTCAAAATCTATTATTAGTTTGTCTACCTGTTTATTATCTAACTCCCTTTTAGAATATAAGCTCCTTGAGAGCAGGATCATGTCTGTCTTCATTATAGTCATATCCTCTAAGCCTGACCTGCTGACTGGCCCACAGTAAGTACTCAATAAGTAACTACTACATGAAGAAATAAGCCCTGTGATAATCCCATTTCCTTATTCTCTGAGAGAGGGTTTTACTCTGTTGCCCAGGTTGGAAGCAGTGGCACAATCAGAGCTCACTGTAGGCCGGGCACAGTGGCTCATACCTGTAATCCCAGCACTTCAGGAGGCCAAGATGGTGGATCACCTGAGGTCGGGGGTTCAAGACCATCCTGGCCAACATGGTGAAACCCCATCTCTAATAAAAATACAAAAAAATTAGCTGGGCATAGTGGCGCATGCCTGTAGTCCCAGCTACTTGGGAGGCTGAGACAGAAGAATTGCTTGAAGCCAGGAGGCGGAGATTGCAGTGAGATGAGATTGTGCCACTGCACTACAGCTTGAGCAACAGTGTGAAACTCTATCTCAAAAAAATAAAGAAAAACAACATTAGCCAGGCATGGTAGCACGTGCTTGTAATTCCAGCTACTTGGGAGGCTGGGGCAGGAGAATCACTTGAACCCAGGAGACAGAGGTTGAGGTAAGCAGAGATCGCACCATTGCACTCCAGCCTGGGCAACGAGAGCGAAACTCCATCTCAAAAAGAAAAAAGAAAGCTCACTATAATCTCAAACTCCTGGGCTCAAGGGATTCTCCTGCCTTTGCTTCCCAAATAACTGGGATTATAGGCAGGAGCCAGCTGGCCCAGCTACCACTTTTTTAGGTAACGAAACTGAAGTTCACAAATTTGAGAAGTGGCAGAGCGAGGATCTGTACCTAAATCTAGCTGGCTCCAAACCTGTTTCTCAACAGTCCATTTTTCAATGTCCAAAGAAAGAAGAGGTTTCTATTTTTAAAGAAAGAAAAATTCTAAATATTTTTTGTTTTCTTTATTCTAAATTTTTTCTTAATTCTTTGTGTAGGCATCAATGAGAATAAAATTCTAAATTTCTAAAGAAGAAAAATATTACATCTGTGGTAGTTGAGAACTAGCACTAAGTTCAAAAACAAATAAACAAAAAGAAGCACTCTAGGCAATAAATAACAGCTTAATGCACCTGATATTTTTATAAAATACTTACAATAAGTCCATTCTCTGTTCTCCAAGATGAATCAAGATAGTGATCTTTTTGTAAAACTGAAGCTGTATTTTCATCACTTCTGTAATAATTAAGAAAATGAGTATATAAGCCAAAATCATACTAGTTAATGAATGTGAGTTACACAGCAAAGAAACCGGCAGGTCGTAACAAACAGATTTAACATTGTGGAAATGCCTGCTCTACCTCTTTGGTCTGTGAAATACATGGTAATGCTAAGCTACCCCATCTCAGTTGTGAAATATCAAGTCTGACTGCTCACTTCTTTTGGTTCTCAAGAATAAACAATCTCATGAAAAAAGCAATACCCCAAAGCAGCAATCACAATATGCTCTGTGACTATGAACCAACAATGCAGTTTCAGCTGATTAATACCAGTACCCATGTGTATACAGGAATTCAAAGTTGTGATTAAATCTTTTTGCTATATCTAAATTACAAAAACCATCGGCCGGGCACGGTGGCTTATGCCTGTAATCCCAGCAATTTGGGAGGCTGTGGCAGGCAGATCACCTGAGGTCAGGAGTTCGAGACCAGCTTGGCCAATATGGCAAAACCCCATCTCTACTAAAAATACAAAAATTAGCCAGGTGTGGTGGCAGGTACCACACTACTCAGGAGGCTGAGGCAGGAGAATTACTTGAACCCAGGAGGTGGAGGTTGCAGTGAGCTGAGATCATGCCACTGCACTCCAGCCGGGGCAACATGAATGAAACTCTGTCTCAAAAAACAAACAAACAAAAAAACAAAAAACCCCACCATCAATAACACTACCCATAAAATAACCAAACAAAACAAAACTAGATGAGAACCAAAACAGAAAATACTCAAAGGATAGTACAGTGAATAGGTAAGAAAAACGTGATGTTTTATTAACAACTCATATACTTAAAAAAATTAATTTCATTTGGAGGCTTTTCAATGTCCATGAGGGATCAAACTGTGTTAATTACCTCACTTTTTTCATTAAGCTAATACGAATTCTTTAAAATTACATTGTATACCCCATATTTGAAAAGGCGGAATAATTAAGTTTTGGGGGGCTCAATCCATGATATAAATTTAATATTTTGCTAAGTTTTTGACTTTTTCTAGACCTAATCTAGCGGTAGGAATCTTCTAAGACTGCAAAAACTTATTAATAGGTTTATAAATTTGAATCTTTAATTAGGCAGTAGTTATAATAAATTATGGGGCTAATGAACTATTCTCCAAAAGCAACCATTTCTTGCAATTGTTGATGGCAAACAGGTTTAATCTCAAATGCCAACTATGAGGGGCCGGGCGCAATGGTTCACGCCTGTAATCCCAGAACTTTGAGAGGCAGAGGTGGGCAGAGCGCGAGGTCAGGAGATTGAGACTATTCTGGCTAACACAGTGAAACCCCATCTCTACTAAAAAAAAAAAAAAAATACAAAAATTAGCTGGGTGTGCCTGCATGTGCCTGTTGTCCCAGCTACTCAGGGGGCTGAGGCAGGAGAATCGCTTTGAACCCGGGAGGCGGAGGTTGCAGTCAGCCAAGATTGCACTACTGAACTCCAGCCTGGGCAACAGAGCAAGACTCTGTTCCCGCTCCTCCCTGCCCCCAAAAAAAGTCAACTATGATCTGGAAGAAGCTGCCAGGAAGGCTAAATAAAGGATTCTGAGACTTATAACAGCTCAAGGAAACCTTTGTTCAAATAACTAGGTCTGCCAAGTGTTCAGAAAGTAGAACCACTATATTTCAAGTTTACTATCGAAATCTTTTCATTCACCAATAGGAAGAATCAGCAACACTCATATTCTGGTTTGTACTTCTGGATATCTACCTGAATCTCCATAGGTACCATATGTTAGCATGTTTAAAGCTTGAAATCACCTTTCCTCCCAAATCTACTCTTTCATTGTTCCCTGTCTCAATCAGTGGCACCACCATCTCCCTAGCTACCCAAGCCAGAAATCCAAGCCTGCCCTTTTTTCTTCATAACCCACATTTAATGTGCCCCAATTCTGTTGTTTCTCCCACTTTCCAAAACCAGTCCTTCTAATGTATTCATACTACCCCTGAGGTCCTGTAGTTTCCAATCTTATATAATTTTTCTGGGTAAATGTAAAAGATAAAGCTGACAAGCCATTCACCTCCTTCTTTATCTTTCTCCACCCATCTCCATCTGACATATATACAGGTTTTCTGTCTATGTCATTTAACTAGAATGTTCTATAAGAGTACAGACTTGGTTTTGATACGTTGTTATATAACAGTGCTTGACATGTAGAAGGTACTAAATATCTTCTGAATGACTGAATGAACAAGGTAGGTGGGGCATGGATCACACAGATCTCTGGAGGTTAAAGAATGAGGATTTTATCATAAAACCAATTGGGCAGTGAAGGGAATAACATGATCAGATTTGGATGTAAGAAAGACTACTCTAACTTCAGAACAGAACAGAAGAGGGCCAAAAAGACAAGGAGCAGTTAAGAGGGAGTGATTTTAAAAATACTAGAGAGGCCGGGCGTGGTGGCTCACGCCTGTAATCCCAGCACTTTGGGAGGCTGAGGCGGGCAGATCACAAGTACAGGAGTTCAAGATCAGCCTGATCAACATGGTGAAACCCCATCTCCACTAAATATACAAAAATTCGCCAGGTGTAATGGCACACACCTGTAATCCCAGCTACTCAGGAGGCTGAGGCAGGAGAATCACTTGAACCTGGAAGGTGGAGGTTGCAGTGAGCCGAGATTGCACCACTGTACTCCAGCCTGGGTGACAAAGTAGGATTCAGTCTTAAGAAAAAAAAAAAAATACTAGAGAAAGGTGACAATAACTTATAGTTAGGGGACAAACTGTGAACAGGAAGAAATGAATACAGTTGAGAAGATATTTAGACAGCATCAACAGGCCCTAAATAACTGATAGGGTAGAGGAGTAGGAGGGAGGTAAGGAATTTAAAGTTTAGGTCTGTGCTTTGGGTGACTGGGTGAATGTAGGTGCCATTTATTAAACTAGGGTGGAGTGGAGAGGCAGATTTGGTGGGGAAAATTTATAAGGTGAAACTGAGGTGCTTGTGGGACATCCAAGTACAGATAGATTCAAAAAACTGGATAAATGGATCTGCAGCTTAAGAGACAGATCTGGGTTGATGACAGATTTGGGAAACATCAGCTGGCAGGTCAAAAAAGATTGAACACTAGTAAAATTTCATACGGTTCAACCAAACAAAGAGAAGTTCAAGTCTTGAGAGGGACTGTGTGGTGAGTGAATAAAAGTCCGATGAGAAAACTCTTTGCAACACCAGGATGTAAATAACAAAAGGAAGATGAGATAGAATGTTAGGAGAAGAAGAGAAACCAAAAAGTTTCACTGCCATCTTCTAACTTTGACATCTATTAAATTAATCCTCAAGGCTTTCACAGATGCTATCATTAATTTAACTACATACTTCGGGGGGTACCATGACAGGAAATTCCACATGGCTGGAATTCCAACACCACTAGGCACTATTCACCAGAATATAATATTAATGATACTTGGGGTTGTATAAGACAAAGTTGTAACCATCATCACGAACCAATAACCTTTTTCATCCTGCTTATTACCGTAAGTGCTGCCAGTAGACCTAGGGCTCAACTAAAATAGGAAGAAAAAAGGGAGAAAAACTAAACACAATCAGAAAAATTGAGAGAAATCTATGGATGAAGAATACAACTGACGCCCTCAGGTGATCAATCTTTAGTGTTTCCAAGGCCAGCTCATTTCGTTCTAGACTAGGAATAAGTATCCCTGCCAACCCATTTCATTAACTTGTTATGAAGAGTAAATTAAATCAAGCATGCAAAAGCAATTGGTCAAGATTTTAAAACTACATGAATGTCAACAATTATTAAGGGCTCCCTACTCATCTGCATAGCTTTAGACTGCTTTACTTATAGCTTTGAGGGACAACAACTATATGAGTTTAATTACCCCTCACGTTTTTACAGGGCTTTGGCGTTCACGATACACTTCTAAACACACTACCTTAGTGCCTCAGGGACTGGGGTGGTACTTTTCCCCAGTCCACATAGGCCCTAATATTAGGCTGACCTACATGAAACTGCCACTTTATAGAATAAAAAATGGTCTAAATATTGGCAATTTCATATGGGTCAAGCTAATACAGTTCTGAGGAAATTGTTCACAATTAAAAAAAACATAACTGGCTGAGTTTAGAATTAAGGTTTTCTGACCGGGCATGGTAGCTCACACCTGTAATCCCAGCACTTTGGGAGGCTGAGGCAGGTGGATTGCCTGAGGTCAGGTGTTTGAGACCAGCTTGGCCAACATGATGAAACACTGTCTCTACAAAAATACAAAAAAAAAAAAAAAAAAAAAAAAATTGCCGGACATGATGGCAGGTGCCTGTAATCCCAGCTACTTGGGAGGCTGAGGCAGGAGAATCGCTTGAACCCAGGAGGTGGAGGTTGCAGTGAGCTGAGATTGCACCACAGCACTCCAGCCTGGGCGACAGAGCGAGATACCATCTCAAAAAAAAAAAAAAAACCCAAAACAAAAACCCTCAGGTTTTCTGATTCCTGGCTAGTCTAGGCCTCCTTTATGACTAAAAGAAGACTCATTTTTCATTTGGAAAGCAAGGAGTCAAAGGAGGTTGTATGTCAAATCACACTGGGCTGTTTGTTCTGCTGGAATAGGTATTAAACAAAATGTGATCCCTCACTCGATCCTCACAGTACTGTCCCTGAGGGTAACAGGATGGTAAAGAACAATTTCAGAGAGCACCTACCATATGCTAAAGCGTATCTCATAATAATTTCAGTTTATCCTCACCATTTCAATGGGTACATATTATGACTGTCAGTTTAAATATGAGTAGTCTGAGACTCAGACAAGTTAAATGTCTTGCCCAAGGTCACACTGCTATTAACTGGTAGGGCGAGCAAATGCAGAAGGAAAACCCAGAACTGTCCAACTCTAAAACCTGACCCCTTTCCTTTAGTCAAGCTGCTTCTCAGTAAGCTTTACAATTATCCCCATGTGGAAGAAGAGATGAAACGACTCGCCCAAGGTCACATGGCTAGCAAGCAAGGGAACAAGAGTCCCTGAGCTCAGGTCTCGTCCGTAGCTGCTCTTGTTCTAGTTACTGTCGAGGAGATCCTGAAAAGGAGGGAATGGAAGAAATAATCTAAATGTGAAATAAACGCAATGTGCTAAGCGAAATCGGTGCCCTCACAGCATCCGACAAAAGGTGAAAGCGACACTGCAGTACCAGAGACCCAGGTAACCGCCCCGCCCGCTGGGCTCGGGACAAGCCGGCGGGCGCGGTGCCTCCCAGGCCGACAGGAGACTCTGGCCCAGCAGTCTTCTGTTCCCTTTTCCCTTGCCGGACCTGCAGCTTTCCCAGGGCCCTCTCGTTGAATCCAATCCCCTCTCCGCCCCAGAGAGATCTGGTCTATAAGCCTCACCCTGGCTGTGCCCCCGCCGCCGCTACCACGTCCCCTTCGATATCCACATCCGCCTCTTCAGCCGCCATGATGGGACCTGACCCCGTACGTCCTCCCGAGAGATCCCGCGAGACGAGCATGGCCCGGGGGCGGGGCCTAGCGTCACGGGCGGGATTGAAGCGTCATCCACCTCCTCCCGTGCCAGAAGGCGGGGCTTCCAGAGCAAAGGCGACCCCAGAGGCCTAGGGCTATTTCCTTTAGAATTTATTGACATGTAGAGAGAGATCTTGGAAAGTGGTCCACGCCTGAGCTTTTTTTTCTTTTCTTTTTTTTTTTGAAACGGAGTTTCACTCTTGTTGCCCAGGATGGGAGTGCAATGAATGCTGCGATCTCAGCTCTCTGCAACCTCCACCTCCCGGGTTCAAGTGATTCTACTATCTCAGCCTTCCAAGTAGCTGGGATTACAGGCGTGTGCCATCACGCCTGGCTAATTTTTGTATTTTTAGTAGAGACGGGTTTTCACCATGTTGGTCAGGCTGGTCTGGAACTCTTGACCTCAGGTGATCCACCCACCTCGGCCTCAAAACCCAAAGTGCTGGCTTTACAGGTGTGAGCCACCTCGCCCAACTCTTTCCTTGTTTTCTAAAGAAAAGGGTCGGGTAGCACTTTTGTGAAGTTGTTCAGTATTTTCACCTAAGTACTGAACAACTTTTATTTTAAAATCCAACAAATACTTAAGAATATAACTTATGATTGTATAATTTATTTGTAGACATCTTTGCAATTTAAAATTCACACCCATGACCATTAATCCTTGCAGTATCCCAGTGAAGCAGGCAGAGCTGGTATCATCAGTTATACTCCTATAAGGTAACTGAGGCTTGGAAAGCTGAAATGATCGCCCAAGGACAGTAGTTTCAAAGACAGAGGCAGGAACAGAATCCAGGCTTTGTTGACTCTCTACTGAGTGTTCACCATGTACAAATCATGTTGTTAGAAACTGAAGGATAAACCCCACTTCTGTCTAATTTATGCTTTCTCAAGAAATTAGATACTGCTGGCCAGGTGTGGTGGCTCACTCCCGTAATCCCAGCACTTTGGGAGGACTTGGTGGGCAGATCATGAGGTCAGGAGTCCGAGGGCAGCCTGATCAACATGGTGAAACCCCATTTCTACTAAAAATACAAAAATTAGCTGGGTGTGTGGCAGGCGCCTGTAATACCAGCTACTCAGGAGGCTGAGGCAGAAGAATCGCTTGAACCTGGGAGGTAGACGTTGTGTTAGATGGAGATTGTGCCACTGCACTCCAGCCTGGACGACAGAGCGAGACTCCATCTCAAAAAAAAAAAAAACAAAGAAATTAGATACTGCCCTTTATCACTCACACCTTGTAAGTGTTCATTCAGTTGTCTGTCCCCTGCACTGGACTGTGAATTCCTTAAGGACAAAGACCATGTCTGCTAGTTCTTACACTACCAATATTCAGCATAGTGTATGACACATAGCAGGTGCTCAATAAATATTGAACAGGGAAATTAACTAATTAATTAAATGAGCTCACTTCTCACACCATTCCCAATTTGTCCCATCTCACCTTAGTTCTCAGGCTGCACTCTGAAAATGATGACAAAAGGTGGATAGAAAAATAGCCAGCACTAAACAAGGTAAAATTCACAATGCCTGGCATCCCTTTATCAGCCATGTAAAGAAGTAGGAAAATATGACCCATAATGACGGAAAAAAATCCACTGAAACCCACCCAGTAGTGGCACAGGTGTTAGAATTACTATACTGGGACATTAAAACAGTTTCTTTTTTCTTTTTTTTTTTTGAGATGGAGGCTTGCTCTGTTGCCCAGGCTGGGGTGCAGTGGCATGATCTTGGCTCACTGCAACCTCTATTTCCCGGGTTCAAGCAATTCTCCTACCTCAGCCTCCTGAGTAGCTAGAATTATAGGCACCCGCTACCATGCCTAGCTAATTTTTGTTTTTTTAATAGAGATGGGGTTTCGCCATGTTAGCCAGGCTGGTCTCGAACTCCTGACCTCAGGTGATCTGCCTACTTCAGCCTACCCAAGTGCTGGGATTACAGGCGTAAGTCACCTTGCCCTGCCTAAAATAGCTATTATTAACTGTATTCTCTATGTTCAAAATGTTAAATAGATACATGAAAATACAGAAAGAATGACATTGTTCTTCTAGAGATGAAAACTACAATGCCTGAGATGAAAATACACTGGATGGGATTAATGGCAGATTAGACATTGTGGAAGAAAGGATTAGTGAACTTGAACACATAACAAGATTAACAATCCAAAATGAAACACACGGAGAAATTAAAAATTTTTAAAATAAATAGAGAACCACTGAGCTATAGGATAAATTCAGGCTTTCTAGTATATGTGCAATTGGAGTCTCTGAAAAGCAGAGAGTGGAAAGTCGGGAAAAATGTTTCAAGAAATGACTGAAAAAATGAGGAAAACTATAAACTCACAGATCCTGAAAACTCCAGGAACCCCAAGCAGGAAAAAAATAAAAATGGAGAAAGAAAACTGTACTATGGCCTATCATAATCAAATTCTCAAAACCAGTAACAAAGAGAAAACTTTACCAGAAAAAAAAGGGGTCATGTTACCTACAGAGGGAAAAAGATAAGAGTGACAGCAAATTTCATGTTGAGAAGAATGGAAACAAGAATAGGGTAAAGCAACATCTTTAAAGTACTGAAAGGAAAAAGAAAATCAGCTCACTGAGAATACTACACCTCATTAAAAATATCTTTCAAAAATGAAGACAAAGTAAGGGGTTTTTAAAGACATGCAACATGTAAAAGAATTCATTCTCAATCTACATATACTACAAGAAAAGCTAAAGGGCATCTTTCAGACAGAAGGAAATGATATGAGATGGAAATCTGGGTCTACATAAAAGAAAGAGGAGAATAGGGAAGTAGGTAACTACATGAGTACATGTATAAGATTTTTTCTTAATATTTAAATCTCTTTAAAAGAGAATTGACTGTTTAAACAAAAATAACATAGTGTGAGATTTATAACATAGTTATGTTATAAATTATATACATTATAAATTATATATACGTTATATATATACATATATGTACTGTTCATACTGATGTGAGCTTTGTGGCAGTTAAGATTCTATAAGCAAGGAACAATTTGACTATATACAACTGTAACATAAGGTCCAGGAAGGTAGAAATTACAATGCTATATTGCAAATTTTATGTACTATATAAGTAGTGATATAATATCACTTGAATGTACTATTACTGTGATATGTTAAAAAAATATGTAGTACAAACCCCAATACAATCAGTAAAAAAACAAAGTTTGAATGTTAACCACAAAAACATATTAATATGTTACTTCTATTATTATTTTTTAAAGCAATAAAAAGGAGTTGGGAAGAGTTGCTAATTTGCTAAATGACGTAGAACTAGGAATTAACGGAGCAGGAATTCAAACCAAAGCCAATTTCAAAGCTAATGTTATTTTTTTCCCACGTCAGACTTTGTGTGTGTGTGTGTGTGTGTGTGTGTGTGTGTGTCAACAGTTTTTCAGCTCTTGGATCTATAGAGAGTTGACCCTCGGAACTTGTGAATGAAACATAACAGATTGTGTTCAGAGTTAAAATGTAAGACCCCCTCATCAAAGCGGATCTAGCCAAGTAAACAAATAAATGGAAAGACATTCAGGCCCCAATGAATTCACACGTCTAAGTTCACAGTGGTAAATGCACTTCCAAGCAATGTCCAAGGAGAAGGAGGCTGTAGTGTTATAAATTTCTGTTTCTAGTGTGGAGGAAGATTCTAAGATTTTCATCCCATTAGTCAGACCACCTATACTATGACAAGATAAGCTCTGTGAAAGGATGGACTTTGTTTCTGTTTATTACTTTGTTCCTACTGCCCACGGCAGTGCTGGCTGTATAGTGGGCACTCAATAAATATTTGTTGAATAAATGGTTCCAAAACGCCATGACTAATGGCATGAATCCATTACACTAGAAGCATCCGAACTCTCCTTGTTCTGATTCCACACTCAGAAAGCAACCTTCAGATTTTGTGATTTATTTTCTCACTAAACAAGAGAATGGATTGTTCATACTGATGTGACCTTTATAGACATGTGGCAGTTAAGATTCTAAAAGCAAAGAACACTTTGACAAGCTGGTGTCCACATCAGTCGTGCAAGCATTTCAGGTAGTGTGAGTCAGCCTCTTGTCATCTGACCACTCTGTACATTGAGAGAACAAGCTTTTTTTTTTTAATTAAAAAAGTATTGCTACATAATATTTGGACATAATTGCGGGGTACATGTGATATTCTGTTACCTGCATAGAATGTGTAATGATCAGCCAGGTGCAGGGGCTCACGTCTGTAATCCCAGCACTTTGGGAGGCCGAGGCTGGTGGATCACAAGATCAGGAGTTCGAGACCAGCCTGGCCAACATGGTGAAACCCTGTCTCTACTAAAAATACAAAAATTAACTGGGCACGGTGGCAGGTGCCTATAATCCTAGCTACTCAGGAGGCTGAGGCAGGAGAATTGCTTGAACCCAGGAGGTGGAGGTTAGAGTGAGCTGAGATAGCACCACTGCACTCTAGCCTGGGTGATAGAGCAAGACTCTGTCTCAGAAAAAAAAATAATGATAATGATATGTAATGATCAAGTTAGGGTGTTTAGGCTATCCATTACCTTGAATATTTACTATTTCTATGTGCTAGAAACATTTCAAGTCGTTTCTTCCAGCTATTTTGAAATATGCATTATTGTTATTGTTAACTATAGCTTCCTTCTCTGCTATTGGACATTAGAATGTATTCTCTCTGTCTAAATGGATGTTTATATCTATTGACCAACCTCTCTTCATCTCCCTGCCCACACATCTGTCTGTAGGCTTCATAAGCGGGCTGCAGGCAACCTTCCCCTTTATACCTAGTCACATCACTTTTTACTAATTTCATACACAGAACCAAGGGCAAAATGCCAAACCCAAGCGAGGTATCGCCACAGTTTATGTTAAAAGGAACGTTTTCAGATGATCATACATTTTTCTCATCAAAATGAACTTTTTATTCCCAGTCCCCTTAAAAAGAGAATTTCATATTTAAAAATAC